TTTTTGTTGACCTTTGTCCATGGAAGGTCCCTGCAAAATTTCATTGAAATTGGTTCAGGGGTTTTGGAGAAGAAGTCGAAAATGTAAATTGTTTACGGACGCACGACGGACAAAAGGCGATCGCAATAGGTCACTTGAGACTTTGTCTCAGGTGACCTGAAAATACCACCAGTTAGTTTCTACCGGTTTTTATAGGGGATTTTAATTGTGCCTTGTAACTTTGCAAAAATATCACTATATATGATAAAACTGTGATCTAATCATCTGCAACATTGCTTTTATTTGTTACTGAATTAATTAATTAATTGTTATTTGCTTTCATTATTCTCGCAGTCCGATTGATACACAAGGACTTCTAGAAGTTATTGATGGTACTGATACAGGATGGTTTACTGGAATATAATACTGTTATTTACCATTTTCTCATAAAGGTGTGTTTCAAGTAAGCTGATGTGTAAATCAACATAATAATACACCACTGCATCATCATGAGGTACAAGATTGACTCAGCACATGAAATGATTGTTGGGTGGGAATGATACATAACGACTAATGAAGACACGAAATGATTCGCCGTTTGTTCATTAAATGTTGTAACTATTTAAGAATAAAAGAATTAGGGGTAATCACAACCATTGCTGAGGAGACATGTGGTACAATTGTCACTATGTTGGACGGTAAAAATATGGTCCAACGGCAACGTGACAGGTGCTGGCTGAAAACTTGTGGTTTCTTGTCCAGAGCATCGATAGCAACCACGTTTTGTCGTACCTTATCGTCTGCATTTAAATAGCATCGGAGTGTAAAACTTAAAATTCTATTCTAACCATTACCTGCAAGTATATGTCAAGAATACATCTGGACCTCCAATGGGTTTGGGTCGTATAAAATCCTCTTGATCTCGCTTAGGCCTACTTCCTATGCACAAACTGTTTTGGTTTGGTGCCTTGGTAATGTTACCGTTGTTTAACTTACAACCGCAAATGCGTATTAATTAGAAAGTCGCTACAGTCATTTAAAACCCGATATTTATGAATTTTGATTAATATGAATACCAAATCTTCTTACATGGCAGAGTTCGAATGGCGTATCTGTATATATTAGTTTTCAGTTATAATTTCCGAATCTAAGGCAGGTTCTTTTGCTAGCTTCATATCCTTACCGGAAGTTGACGTGGAAAAATGGCGATCCCCAGGAGCGTAGCGTTTGTTACCGGTGTTTTTGTGATATTTGCTAGTTGCATTTATGCAAATGACGAGCAACAGTGTCATTCGTTTGCCGGAGGCAGCGTTTATCCTCAAGAAACTAAACGCACTAGTGGACATGCCATTCAATGGAGTCAAGCTGTCAGTGAGTATTAACATGCGCCCCAAGCCCCCCCCCCCCAAAAAAAACACACACACACACTTAATTGACCCAGACTCCCACCCGGTTTGTACCCCGAAGACACACAAGACCCTATACCACCTTATGTGGGTATATTTCGTTGGGCGCCAATTGTAACAGGAGAGGGAAAATACACGGACAGACCTGGGTTCGAACCCGGGCCTTCCGAACTCTAGACGGATGCTCAACCAATTGAGCTTTCTGGTTGCCGACGATCGACCCAGTCCAGTTTCGATACACTACATGACCTTCTGGACACTACACAGGGATATTTAAGATGTTTGGCCATCGTCTGTAAACTGACCACATTTCCTCAACTATTTTTTTCCACTTCTGAAGAGCGAAGGGTAATTCTTATATCAATAAACACTGTTTGTAATGAAACGTAAGCCTTGTAATGCAATGAACTTTCACCAACTATAAACAGAATAAAATGAGAAATAACTTACCATCAACTATAACCGATATAAGACTGCACAAAAAAATAATAACAGATTATATTAATTTTATTATAACAAAATTAATCAAATTTAATAACTTTAAAATGATTACAATAATTCTTTCAAGTTGACAAATTGAAAAATCAATATACCAAACGAAGCTTTAGTTAGTGCAGGCCACTGTGGAGAATTTCTATTAAGTGTATTAGAGTTATCTTTCTTTGAACACTAAATCAAAAGGTGGAAACGCATAACACCAGGATATCTATTCTAGAACCCAATTATTTATTATATATAGTGATGTGCATAGTGATACCCAAGCACCTTAGTTAATAAGCACCTTTTGGGACGCAGTCACTGTACCAAATGATATACTAATGATAAAAGATTTTATTTTATATCACAGATAATATTTTGTTGTTATTTTGTTCAGAAAAAAATGTATATATCATTATTTTTCAAATTATTTATTGCTCGTATTTTTTTTACCGGGACCTGAGAGTTACAGTTGGTATGTATGGGATTTTGATTTATAAACTATCAATTAGAAATTATCACCCCTAGTTAGTGAACCCAGAGCAGTGTATAGCATCAATGAAATGGTGTTTTGATAAATCCTGGTATTCACTCAGAAAGGGCATCAATAAGTCTGTTACAGAGAGTATTAATAATAATTTTGACAAAATGTGATGGGTTATTTTTATTTTCAGTTTCCAAACCTGCTCCAGACTGGAATGGAACTGCAGTCATCAAAGGAGAGTTCAAAGACGTTAAACTGGCAGACTTCAAGGGAAAATACATTGTCTTCTTTTTCTATCCACTTGACTTGTAAGTATAGATGAGGATGCTAAATTTGATTTAAAACAAGTCTGCTAACTGTCATGTGTTATCATATGCTTATTAAGTTATAACTTTTTTGCTTTATGAAATTTAGTAAAGTGTTGAAAGTTCATTGAAAACAGGAGCACAATATTTAATTTATTTGGTTAAAACTCTGGAGTACATTTATTATGTAAAGAATTGTTTTGTTTATACTGCATGTTATGTTTATTTTTATACAGGCTTCTCTAAGTCAAAAACTGTGTCTTTTATGACAAGCTTCATTATTTTTCAGCACATTTGTATGTCCCACAGAAATTATAGCATTTAGTGACCGAGTGAGCGAGTTCCACGACATTAACACTGAGGTCATTGCTTGCTCTGTTGATTCTCAGTTCACCCACCTTGCCTGGTAAGTAACTGGTAAATTATTGTGAAAAAAATATTACTGTAATAATGGCCTTGTTTGAACTTCTGATGGGTACTTACTGAAACATATCAATGATAGCATACATTTGAAAATCTACTGGTGCACTAACTAAAACATATCAACATATGAATTTATATACGTTGAATTAATTGTTAATCAAAAGTCATAATTCAATGAAACTGGACACTGAGAAGAATTTGTTCTGTCAGAAAATGTTTATGTTCTTTTCTGACTGGTTTTTGGAGTAGCAGCATCAGTAAATATTTTCTATAAAATTAAACAGCTGAACAGAAGATATTATTCAAATTATTTAATTGTTTTTACTAGATCCAGAACCGCATTATTTTTTCACATAGCTGATAAAATTAGTTGAATTTGTACCCATTTGATGCTGCCTGCCTCAAAATAAATATTAATATGCCCAAAGCACCTTGGATAGAGAGATTATTATGTTTCCCCTTCGCATTAAGGGCTGGTTCTACTTCTGGTTCTTCTAATCGCAACCTGTCAGGGTCATAAATTTTAAACCGTTAGAGATATCTTGATGAAACTTGAGGTATGCATGAATCACCCACAAAAGGTGTACAGTGCACTGGAATTAGGTTACTGTGACCTTCACCTCAAGGTCAAAGGTCAAATAAGTGCAACATTTTCAGTAAATTCGTGCCCGGCCCGTACATTTTAAAACGTTAACGATATCCTGATAAAACTTGAAGTATATTTGCATCGCCCACAGAAAATGTGTAGTGCACTGGAATTAGGTCTCTGGTCTCTTTATATACAGAGTTATGGCCCTTCGTTTATTTTTAATACCGAAGTTTGTCCAGAGCATAAGTTCCATGTAATTTCACCTACGTAGACAAAACTTACCATATTTATATATCTTGGGAAGACAGAATCTCTCGCACTGAAATTGCCCTACTATATATATAGTTATGGCTCTTTGTTTATTTTTTATATGGAAGTTTGTCCAAAGCATAACTTCTAAACCTTACAAGATATATTAATCAAATTTGAAGTATATCTGCATCACCCACAGAAGTTAGCAGGGCACTGGAATTAGATCTTGTGCCCCAATTTGTCTTTTTTTAATACCAAAGTTTGTCCAGAGCATAAGTTCCATTTTATTTCACCTACGTTGACCAAACTTACCAAATTTATGTATCTTGGGAAGGTGAAATCTCTCGCACTAAAATTGGGTTTCGTGCCCCCACTATATACAGAGTTAGTTGTTAGTTTTTAATACCTACGTTTGTCTATTGGCTAATAAGGGGAGACATATGATTTTGTTCACAAAAACAAGTTTCTAGTTTGTATTGGTAATTTACAGGATCAACACACCAAGAGACAAAGGAGGACTAGGACCCATCAAGGTCCCCCTACTGTCTGATATCACCCATGAAATCTCAAAGGCTTATGGTGTTTACCTGGAGGATCTTGGTCACAGTCTCAGGTGAATAGGAAAAAAATGAAATTCTTATTTATAAACACATGATTAATCTTTTTAATTATGAAGATATTTATAACTGATGCTTGATTATGTACATTTAACTATTAGCCTTTGAAATATTGAGAGTTTTCTTAAAGAAATAGAGATTAAAAGACAATCATCAAAGTAATTATTCAAATAGCAGCAAAAGACAATAACTTTGAGTCTTATATACTGGTAGTAAATGTAAAATTAGCATTTATTTTGTAAAAAGTCATACATATGAGATAACAAGTCGTACAAATAAGATAAACTTTTGCAATAATACAAGACTCTTTTATGCTCAGGGTTGTAGGATAGGGAAATTCCACCCGAGATTTTTTCAAATTTGGTAAAACCAGAAGCTATGCCGAGGGTTTTGCCAAATTTGAAAATCCTGAGGTCGGAATTTCCCTATCCTACACCCTTGGGCATGGAAGGTTATTTTTCTCTCATTCCAACCACCAGAATAAGCTCAAAAACCATGAAAATGCGTTTGGACTGGCCACCATTTTGAAAATATCAATTTCCCCCCCAGAGCTTCTTAGACAAAAACAAATTAGCAAGACAAATGTATATCCCATATTGCCAAACAAAGATTGCGCTGGAAAATTAATCACATTTTTCTAAAGTGTACGATAAATATATCGTAAAAAGTTTTTAATTTCACCACGTAGCCCTTTCCGCATTGCGGTATCGGAGAGTTCCGAATTTATGATGTCACGTCATTGTCGAGCCATTGTGACGTCACGTCATGTGAAATGGGTTGTAAGATAGAAATTTCCTACACCCCTTTCTTACCCTGGACAGATCGATCTTACACACAGGGAAATGCGAGAAAAGGTTGTATTTATTATCCTGTCAGTCTTTTATTATTTCAAGATTTTTTTTATCTTATTTTACTTTTAGGGGTTTGTTTATCATTGATGATAAGGGTACTCTGCGTCAGATCACAATGAATGACTTACCAGTAGGTCGAGATGTAGATGAAACACTCAGGCTTGTTCAAGCATTCCAGTACACAGACAAACACGGAGAGGTGTGTCCAGCTGGTTGGAAACCTGGCAAAGATACTGTAAGTCTGTCTGTGTAATTGGGATGTTAATTAAATGTTAATATACAATCCATGCTTTTGTGAAAACAAATTCTTAGAGAGTTAGTTTTCAAGATAATATATTAATTACCATTACAAGGTGTTTTTTAATTTAATTTGTTTATTTTTAAAGACATTTTTATTACATAATTACGTAAACACCACATACATACATTCCATGGTTTGTCAATCATCTCTTGCATCGTCATATCTTTCATCATCATCCTCATTGTGACTGAATATCATCATCAGCCTTGTCAATCATCATCAATAGTAATACACCATTATCATCATTACCATTCTCATCTTAATACATCATCATCATCATCATCATCAATGTAAAATCATCATTATTAATGCCTCTTCATCATCATCATTCTCCTATCAATCCATCATCATCATCATCATCATCATCCACCACATCAATGTAAAATCATCATCAACATCATCATCATCATCATCATTCTCCTATCAATCCATCATCATCATCATCATAATCATCATCAACAACATCAATGTAAAAACCATTACAAGTTTTAATCAAATATCATATCTCTTAGATCAAGGTTGTGACAAGTGGTAAGCCATATGCTATCTATCATTGTAGGAAACGGCCATTTCAATATGCAAAATAGGTTTTACAGTCATTATTGATGATAATATCTTAGATGATGGCTATTCCAGCTAGTTGTACTGCCATTGTCATCTCTTCGAATAGTTTGGTTTTTCATCAATTGGCTATGCAATAAAGGGGTATCTACCAATTACTGTACACCTGATTTAGGCAATTCTTTGTAAGTCTATATAAGATAAATCTGTACATTTATTCCAGTTAGGAATGTTTTCAAATTTAAATACAATATCAGGTAGATATTCACAACATATGTTTATAACTACACAATTTTTTGTTCATTTTTCTAGATCATTCCGGATCCCAAGCAGTCTCAAAAATACTTCAGCAAGCAGAAACCTTAGTATATTTTTGGAAGCTTCTACTTCCATTGTGTGTTATCCCTTAAATCTCCCTGTCTCCTGTCTTTATTTATTTTCATTCTATCACTTTATATCACTCCAGTAAGTGTAAATGTCCTGGATTTTTAATGGTAGTTTAATCAGCTGTAAATGTTCATGTATATATATTTTGAACATTTAAAAAAGGTGAAGAATAATTATTCTGGTTATTTAAATGTTAATATTTGAGTGAATTATCTACCATCACATTTCCAAGATATTACCTGTTACTGCATTTCTCTTCAAGCTGTCATGATTAGATCTGTTATGAAGGTTTTACCTCAAAAGCTGTTTATTAAATTACAAAATAAAATAATAATGTACTCTTATCTTATCTTGGTAATCTTAAACGGAGGCGTTTTAAAATAAGATTGAAACATAACTTAAATCATCACCTTGTGTGTTAGAGAAAATCTTATCACAACATTTTGCAAATGTCTGTACTTGTGAAATATGTTATTGAGACGTGCTTTTATTATTTGAATTTAAGCGCATGCTTGTTATAATTTCAGTTTGTGAATATTATGCATTCCAAAAAGGTTAATACATACACTGTATTTCCATTTAAACCAGGAGCATATTTGTTCGATGAAAACTTTTTTTTACAGAAATGTGTCTTTTCTCCTTAGTTCATTCATTCATATACCATACATTTTTGTGGGTGTTGTTCTGAAGGAAGCACTTTTTTCACTGCACTGTACCTCTTTTTGTTGTACAATTTTCACCTTTCAGTACTTAAATTCTTGAAAGGAAGAAAGAACCAATTATGCATTTGAACTTCGAAAATTATTTCTTCTTGGTTATAAAATTGTCCTTTTTGAATAGAATAGACGAATGGATATTCCTAATATTAAATCTGGAAGTATATTTTTCTAATGCAATAAGTATTACTTAGGCACATGTATCGATGAATCTTAGGAAATCCACATTGCTCAATGTAGACGGTGCTCTGACAGAATAAATGTTGCTGTTGTAGGGGTTGTTTTTATTTCATTACATCATTAGTGCTAAGATCTTAACCTGGTTGTGGGATTTATTTACTCTTCATGGTGTGGTGTTGTATCAAAGTTTCTTTATGTTTCTATTCAATGGAATTCAATAGTCAGATTTCTAAGCTTCTGTTTGGTTTGACACTCACATCAGACATTTTCTTTTTATTTCTCCTGTTTTATTTTAAACTCCATATAAACCCATTATCATCTGTATGATGTTTAAATCATGATGGATCTTACAGATATAATAGATTCATAGAACCACTCGAATGTTCCATAGGTCCTTTAACACGAGATTGCTAGATAAGGGAAGTAACTTTGATTGATGAGGAGCTTGGACCATATAACCATTAATATGTGCATTGTATAAAAAATGTACAGATTAATAGGGACCATTAATTACTTACACTTTTATTTCTGTTCCAAATAAAATTGGTAGAATATTGAATATAAGATGTGTCATATAAATCAGAACTCTAAAAGAAATATAATTGCAGAAAACATCAACCAATATTTCTCCTGTTATGAATTGTACTGTTAGGACAGAAATCATCCTCTTGAGAATGATGAAACTTTGAACATTATTACAGTCAACATGATAACAAGGTGCTAGGTATTTTGTCAGGTGATCCCACCTATATGTTAAGTTTGAGCATAATTTTACTAATTCGTTTTGACTAGAAGCCTCAGTATTCATATTGATTGTGTTTCAATTTAATGCAGCGTAGCAAAACACTTGATAAACACTTACTAACTTTGTTCATATACATTCATTTTACTTTTTTCATTTCTTAATGTGAGTCCGTATTTTTATTCAAGAATGCCTTCATCTACTGATTATCAATGTTCCACTTGTCCTGTGGCACTCACTTTGTGGCAATTACTTGATGAATATTCAGCAGCACTTAATTACCACTCAATGACATTGCTGCTATATATATGACCGAATCAACTTTGGATGGTATTAATATCAGCTGTGAATGCCATGGCCCACATGTTGACATCATTACTTATATGTCATAATTATAATGTTGGATACCTGGACTGACCCACCCTGGAATATGTCTGTTCTATTCATTAGATAAGTGAACATTATACATAACTTGTTTTAATTAAATTCTGAATTTTGATAAATTAGTTTTGTATGATTTTGAAATATTTCAAAAATGGATAGCGTCAGTAATGCACTGCTTTCGCTGGGCATCCACAGTCACTATGATTACCAACTGAAATCATTCCAGTGCTCGATTAAAAGGCTATACCTTATTTTCTGAATCTCTCTATTCTTTAATTGTCTCAAAGTGAGTCCAGGGGACAATCGGAAAAGACAGTATTAGGCCTGATAAATGTACAAACCCACAGAATATGTTTGTGTTATTTTTGAGTATTGTTAAATCTTTTATAGGCATTGTAGATGTTATATAATTCCTTCGCACAAACAGTCAACATTTTGTTGCAAACAATTTCTTCTCATGGTGTTTGGAGATGCAAAGATTCATCAAAATTCTATTATCATGATGATGAATGCTTTGGGATTTATGGTCCACAACAAAATATAAAACAAAGCATCGCTACCTCCCAATCTTAACACAGTTTTCAGGGACGCTCAGGGTATTAGGACTTAAACCGATATACTTTCTAAAGAACTAATGGAAAAATTACTCTTTAAGGAATATAGGTATGTAGCTTATACTTATCAAAATATAGGTCATATCTAGTGTGTTTTCAAACATAACACAGATTAAAGATTCACAAAACTTAATTTTAAAATGAATCCGGAAAAACCTTGATACAGGTTCATGTGTAAATTTTGAAACCGAATGGTCTACAGACTTCAAACAAAAGTAGCCAAATAATCAGTTGGCTAACAGTGATTTATTATCACAGAAGTATCCTACTAATAAAGTAAACTTTTGGTTTTAGTACCATAAGTGGAATAAGTCAAATATGTTTAGTCAAGGATGGATTCCATTAGAAAAAATGGACTTTTTGATTAAGGTCAATAAGATAAGACAATGTGATAAAGCTACCCTCGGAGAATTTGATCTGTGTTATTTTGTTGCTAGGGTAAATAAAGAACTTTTATCATACATATTTTTATACATTGATACCTAATTCTGTTCATTTTGGTAATAAGTTACTTATCAGGATATGAAGAGTCAGAAAGCTCATGCGTTCGACACCATCTCGGTGTCTTCCTCAAGTATTGAGCAATGTTGACAGACACGCATTACATGGCCAATGTTATACTTACATGTCGCCCATCATTGAAATTTCAGGGGTTATGTTCATTTACCCAGGTAAGTTCTGCACACCCCTGGAATATGTCATGACAAAATTGAAGGCACATTTTACCATTATACTGCCCAGCGATTCTACTGATGTACATCAAAGGATCAAACGAGGCTACTCGCGTCATCTACAACGTGGCACGTACAAAGCCTTCAATTTCTTTGTGACATAATCCAAGGATGCCGAGAACAAGCATATCCCCTGGAAATTCAAGGATGATATCAGCCATTTTGGGGCACATAGAGAACTTGACAGAGGAATATATTTGATAAAAATTGTTAATTTTTTTTAATTATTTTTCAGCGTTAAATGTTGTTCAGATAGATGTTTATTTGCATGTGTATCAATGAATTTCCTCTAGAGTGAGAAAGTTGCATAAATTTACTGCTGAAAACCAAAGTGTTTAATATAGAGATAGTTTACATCATCATTTCATATCGGCGAGAATGTGTTCATGTGTAGTTCTGTACAAATGCTTTTGGAAATAAATGGGTCATCATTCATCTGGTTTTCTGACTTTTTTTTGTAAATTCTACAACATAGCACTACATGTCATTCAAATCACGTTATCACTGATGATCCAATAACATCATTGTTGTAAACACTTGTTACCTGGAGTGTATTCATCCTCGGACATTTGATTTACAAAGATCCATTATATGTGGAGTAATATTAAGCCAACCAGTATTTATATAAACTTGTCCTTGACCCACTTTGACTGTCACAAATTGAGATGAATACCGTAGAAGTTTTTCAAGCAGGTCCATTATTTTTTTCTGCAGTTCATTGTATCAACTTAAGCCAATAGTGGTTTTGTAACAAATCACAAGAATATTGTAGCTTTTCATTTGACACCTATATCTGATCTGACTTTGAGAATTGAAAATATTTAAACCATGCCATAAAAGGCCAAGGCAATTTCAGACCATTGCACAGGAGACAAAGGAAATGCAGGCCAAGAAGAGCAAAATTGGTCTTGCAGATCACAGTACAGTAGGTCCAGGAGATCAAAGTAAAGTAGGTCTGGAAGATCAAGGTAAATTAGATCTGAAAGACCAAAGATTAAGAGTTAGCAAATTAAAGTAGGCTAAGGAGTTTGTTTGTGTTTTATGCATATAAACAGCTATAGTCAAAAAAGGATGTGCCAGGATTTGGAAGATCAAGGTAAAGTGGGTCCTGTCCCCGTCCAGAAGACCTTAGTAAAAATTGGTTAAGAGTTATCAAATTTAAGTAAGCTAGGAAGATCGAAATTTGGCAAGCCATGGAGACCAAAGTAAAGTAGTTCTGGGTTATCACAGTAGAGTAGACTAAGAAAAATAAAGTGAAGTAGGTCTAGGGGACCAAAGTAGAACAGTAGACGAAGTAATGTTGCTCAGGAAAACCAAAGTTGAGAAGACGACGGGAGTCTGAAATAGCATAGGCCAGGCAGACCAAAGTAAAGTAAGTCTTGGAGACCAAAGTACAGTTGTCCATTGCAGAGATTGAAGTCTAGCAGACACAAGGAGACATAAGTCAGACATGCGTCAGACATGCTGAGGAGATCAAAATAAAATAGGTCTGGTCTGGGAGTCCAAAGTAGTGTAAGTAAAGTAGATTATGGACACCAAATTCAAGCAGAAAAGGGAGTACGAGACCAAAGTCAAGGAGGCCAACAGTACTTATATATCTGGGGAGTAAAGTAGGCCAAGGAGGCCAACAGTACCAATATATCTGGGGAGTAAAGTAGATCAAGGAGGCTGATGTAGAGTAGTCCACTAGAGAGATGAAACTCCAGCAAACAAGAGGAGGCAAAAGTAAATAGGTCAGGGAAAACGGAATCCCCAGCAAGTCTATAAGTAGTTTTAGAGTGGCCATTTCCAAGACATGATCCATGTACTAAGTCCCCATGGTGGGGCTGGAACCTGCAGCCAATCCTGGTAGCATGGGTGCCTATTATATGTTGCAGTCTGTTATTACATAGTAAGGATATTGATTTTGTTTTTAAGTAGAGCAGCAGTTCCTGTATTTTTAATATGTTCCAGCCCCAGGGGACGCACAAACTCATTATCCAAAATAAGATCAACTTGTTTTGATATTTCAAAAAACTGAATTTTATGTCAATCCAATTGTAACCATTTAGATTAATATATTTCGGACAGATTTATAGCCACAGCCTTCTGCTTCCAGGGAAGATATGTTCCTTTTTATACAATAAGAGTATCATTAGCCCAAAGATGCTCCAGGGGGATTTTTTTTTTTTTTACTTTATCCCAGAAGCAATAGGAATTGAAGATCCTCCATGGGGCCTCAACACTCTACAGCTAAAATTTATACATAAGGGAAGATAACTCCAACTTTGGTAATCTAGTCAACATATATATAATAAAAGTGGAATTGTGTCCCTAGCGTACATCACTGAGATTTATTTTATTTCATAAAAGATTATTTTATTTAAATTTCAATATTTTAAATTACTGTTATGAACTTATTACCAGGGTTCAAATCACAACCAGGATCCAGATATTCTTTGTATATATTTATTCCGTATTTAAAAACCCTGTTGACCAAACAAATACAACATATAAATCTTACATGCCTACCAAACATAGTAAAAGGGAAATAACTCTATTGACAAATAACATTATATAACATATACCTATTTTACCCTATCAAATGTACATATACAATGATACTTATTAATCTACTAATTTCTAAATCTGTAACATGAATGTATGTATTCAGTTGTCTTTTCCAAAAGGTTATAAATTCATTCTTTAAACAATTACTTAAATATCATTACTATAAAACCTATAATTTTACTATTGCAAATTACTCATACATGCTGTTAAAATTCCATATACATTCTATAAATAAAAACATATATATATACACATTAAAACATTCTAGACCTATTGAACACTCACCCCACAGCTATGGTTTGGGGATTTCCCTCAGTTCCTCTCTATTAAGTCGGTTTGACGTTCAACCAGGAGCTATACACTAAAATAATATAAATATCCCTAATAAATAATTTGACCATTATGAATTTGATACCAATTCATAGAAAGTTAAATTAACAAAGACTTATCTTAACATACTACTCAATTTCACTTTGACCTTGAAATTGTTCAATGACAAAATGTCAATTACTTTTAGATAGAAAAAGATAAGATTACCTAACCACAATCAGGGACACTATACGTCCCTGCCACAATTGAATTACAAAAAATGGTATATTCCCTACATTTTCTGTTATACTAGATGAACAAAAGGCTATTAAACAAATAGAGTAAAAACTTACCAGCTAATTATTCTTTCAGTTACAAGTTTTCCCCAAATTCAACATACAAAATATATGGTTCACCACGTTGGGCGCCATTTGTTACCGGGGTTCACATCACAACAAGGATCCGGGTATTCTTTGTATATATTTATTCCGTATTTAAAAACCCTGTTGACCAAACAAATACAAAATATATGCCCTATTACAAACTTACGTGTTAATTGTTGTTTTAGATTTCAATGTGTGACAGAACTAAAATTTAAACAGAACTTATCAAGAAAGTCTGAACGTACAACACGGTAGATATAAGCAGTTTTATTTTATTATATTTTGCCTTAGAAGTACAATAAAGTTGATGACACCATTTCGATAATATAATTAGCTTCCATCATTTTTTATATATGCGAAAGGAACCACTCTAATTATGAAAAAAATCTCCCCAACGAAAAGTTCAATTTGTTTTAATAGGAACCAACTGAGACTCGTCTGGATCAAAACATTAATATTGTTGTGAAACAAATAATTTAAATAAAGAGCAATACATTTTTTTGCCAGGTTCTTTTTGTATGAAATCATGTCTTGTTTGTTTTATTTTCCTTTAGATAATCACATCCCTAGCAAAATTACAATGCAAAGCCATACCCAATCGATCGGAATTTGCAAACAATCTTTTCTTAGTTGTTTCAAAGCCATTATTTGAAAGTTTCCACTGATTCTATAATATATGTTAGTTAACTGCGAGAAACCGGAGCCTCCTAATGGATTTTATGCTCTTCGTCTTGCTAGTCCAACATGAGTTACTTCCCTTCAACGCGGGAAAACCTTGTAAAAACTTAATTAATAAAAACGTATGTAAATGGCATCTGGATAATTCCTTACGCAGTTTTTCAAATTAACATATTTTTTAATTAAAAGCTTCATCTTATAATCCGACAGCTGATTTATTTAGAAAAGGAGATCCGACTGGAAGAGTTTTAACTAAAACCGGAAGTGACATCACAATTTGCCAGAAAATGGTGCTTGATAGGTCCTTGTTGACTATGCGTTCGTCAGCTTTTCTTGAATTAAGCATTGAAAATAATGTCACTATTCTCTGGTAAGTAGTTAGACGAAAAGTCGAATAAATAATGTAATACATGAGCTATAAATAAGTATGTCAGCCTAATACTGGATTTGTCGAAGACGAGTTCACGTTCCACATGTGTTTTGCCCAGGAATGAAACCTGTCCCATCCAATGGCCGCAAATGTTGGAGAAATCTCGGAATGTTGCTGTATCATTAGTTTTATGATTGCAAAGCGATATTTATTTTCAGGAATCTAAGTACAAAAGGTCTTGTTTCTAACTATTAGATCTAGATGTCTTGCGTCATAATTTACAACATGAGATCGTTTAATTTCACATTGAACAGGATGGTGATCCTTTTTTCTTCTTTGGTGTAAGGATATGCCATCATTAATGAGCTTATATGTTCTGCATTTTCTATGACATAATGTAGGAACTGCCCCTCGTTTGAGGGAATGTATTCTGTACATGGACAGAATCCCATTCTTGAAAATGCCTTTGGCTTATGGAATGTAAACACATAAACATTTTGCATTTGGCAATAATTTGTGGAAATATTCATATTTTAAGGCCCAAATATAATATTGGTAAAGAGAAGAAACATCACCAAGCCTCTGCGCGGACTTGAAGCTTTTTTTAGGCTTATTGGAAATCAATAGTGGACATTTTTGCACAAAAAAGTGGTGTCAAGTACTAGTGTTTTGATTAAGGAAATTGACCTAATTCAATAACATTCAAAAAGGTACAATTAGTTATAACAACCTATCTATCGCAACATGTAATAAGTTGTAAGATATATTTGCTTAAAAAAGCCAATAAATACAAAATATTTGAGTTCAGAAAGATTGCATCTAGTTAATATAATGAAGTACTATCACATATTATATAAAGTATCACAATTTGATTGTTATGTATTGCTTATTGATGTAGCATGAGAAGAAAAAAGCATGGCTAGCATGCAGTGCTCCAGATAACTTTTGAACATGTTTTTTTATCCCTACCTCTCCAAAGTGAAGGGGTGAAAAATTGACTTTTGAACCATGAAGTACTGAAAAAGCAACGTTACCAGAAAATGTTGAAAGAAGTTGAAAGAAGTTGAATAATTTGTATGTGTTACACTTATATTGTTAAAAATGACTCAAATTCAGATTTCTGTGTTGTCTCTTTCAAGAAATCTGCTATACTAGGTTCAGGAGGATCAGAACGTCTTGCGAACCCCATTTTAAATAGCGATTGTTGTTTTGAACATGCTATGATTCAATTGTCTGAAATATTTTCGTTCATGATAGCGTTTGAAACAGGAGGCATTGATTTGCATTCTATGCAAGCGTTTCAGTGACTCACTGTATGCCTATTATAATCTGCTAAATTGGACCCAGAAACTAATGCAATGTTCCGGATTTTGCTTGCGTTAATTAAGCAAGTTCATTTTTTCTTTTGCCTAATTCGTGAATACTCATTCACGCAAGCTATCTGTAGCACTAGCTAGACTGGGTTTGAACCAGTGACCTTACAAACTTTTGAGACGGGTGCTCTACCAATTGAGCTATCTTGTCGCCGAAGAACGACCCAGTACCCAGTCCAGTTCCACTACATTCCTCCCTCCTTTTTCTAAGTCTTCGCCCCTGAAGACAACACTATTTACAACCCAGGTTTAGGTATCCCCTTGCCAAGCATACACCAAATGCTTAAAACAAGGGTTTGTCACAGTCACCACTGTAACAGGAAAAGAAACATGAACGGCGAGACCTGGGTTCTAACCCGGGACCTTCTGAACTCTAGACGGATGCTCTACCAATTGAGATATTTGGTCGCCGACGATCGACCCAGTCATGTTTCTCTACATTGATACTAAATATTGACACTGGTAAACGAAATAAAAAAATGTCTCTATCTAAAAATTGTCACATTTGTCCTTAGAACCAGGATAACCCAGAAAACAGTTAGGTTTCTTTCCACTTGGGTCTTCTACTTTCGTGACACGGTAACAATTTGATAAAGAATAGTATAGCATTTAATTTTAAAAAAAAATGAACCAACAATAATAAATATGATTTGTAATAACCATAAGCTGTTAAACTCTTCCCTAATTATCTTACAAGAAGAAATGTTTAATGAGCTGGTAAAAAAAATCAAATAAGCAAATGTGATTGCAATCTGGACAAGTATGGTCCAAGAGATTACGGTACTTGCAAAATTTAAGTAAAAAAACCCTGATATTATAGACATTTAATTGTTTTAAACAGTTTAGTATTATGAAATTTAACTTGAATTGCATGTGTTTGAAGAATATTATATATGTAAAGTTAAAATTTGTTGTCACAGCACTTGCAAATGAGGAGCAAAAGCCAGACCAAGGATGGAGTAATGCTAATATGTTCAGTAATAGCCTATCCTCGGAAACTACACAGGAAGTGATTGACATCAATTTTTGGCCAACATCCAAGCCAGGAAACGTGGTTACAGAACAAATAGAGCAGTTTGACCCAACTGTCAACCAGTACACTGGACAGACAATCCAGACTACCCCTGTAACGGTCGACTCCGATACATCAACTGCGTAAGTAGGAATCACTCCTAGTTATCATCACATGTCTAATATTCCTGTTTCTCAACAACATGATGTAAATTTGCTTCATATGTTATTTGACCAATTAGATTTCACCTGACAATAAGGCATTGAATGGAACACTTAGTAAAACTTCGTACAGAATGACTCGATGCAATAGTAAACTTAACTTTCCTGATCAACACCCTGTCATGTCTATTTGATTATGATGAACATTTGTTTTGAATACAACTGCAAAGTTTAGAGATTAACCAATGTATTGATGTATCATACAGAGTTGTTCGTTTATGAAATAGGTAAGGACCTAGTGATTTGATTTTGCTTTCTTGAGAACTTTCGCACAGACTTCCAAGGCCTACAGTAACATTTGCTGGTCTATATCAGGCTCTATCCCTGAAATATTATATTTGGAAATGGATGAACCGGTTTGTTGGGATCAATGAGCATTGACCATATCAAATTTAATTGTTTACGAACTTTTTCCATTTCAGAACAAATTAAAATGATAATGAGAAAATTCAAGAAAAATTAAAGGAGTATTTCTGCTATTGTATCACTGATTCTCTGCCTTTTTGTTGGATTACTTGAGAAGACAAAAAGAAACTATTCAAAATGATTCCTATTTTAGTAGATTCTCAAAGAATAAGCAAGCCATACAAAAAGATATAAACAACAGTTCGGGATGCAAAAATCTGGGTCCCAAAATCACAGAATACACTAAAATGTCTGTATATTTTATTAAGATGAAATAAATACTGATGCAGTAAATATAAAGCATGTTATAAAACCCTTAATGAATTGATAGATAGCACCTAGGCTACCTGGTGGTACACAGTAACAGTTGGGTGTTTGCAGGCTGTTTGATATTTCACTTGCAATCAAATTTTCAAGTTTTAATTATTGTAAGTAATGCTTCGATTTCTTTTCCAGAAATGTTGAAGTATACACTGAGCCTGCTGTATCCGACTCCCCAGTGGTAGAGCAGTCTACAGTACACACCACACCTGGGACTACCAGTATAAACTTTGGTTCAGGGGAAAGTACACACCAGGCCTACTACTCACCAAGTCAAAATCAAATTGTAATTGTGTCTAATTCTGGAGGATCACAGATACACTCCACTCCAAACACCAACACAGTCTACAGAGTCAATCAGAAAACAGATCAATCTAAAAGTTTGTTACATGATATTGTACGCCTTGCAGGTACCCCAAACTCCAACATTGGAGCAGGTCAGGGAATAGTTCAGGCAGAGACTAGTGCAAGAGGTAGAGGAGGAAGGGGCAGGGGAAGGGGTCGAGGAAGGGGTAGTAGTAGAGGTCGAGGTAGGGGGAAAACTTTGATCAGTGGTACTCAACAAGGCACATATAAGGTCATTGTTCCACAGGTTCAGCCTGTTCACAGACCATCAAACTTTCTCTTACAAAGTAAAGGTGGTCCCACTGCTGGTTCCTTTGCTAGTTATAACATTCCAAAGATCAAACAGTCTTCTGCTGCTGGTACAGGGACTTCCTGTACACCATTCTCCTCAAGTGGGACCAACACTGTTGTCACATCCTTACTGAACTCCAACCCAGGACCTCATCAAACAGATGGAGAAGCCAATGATTCAGATGGAGATTCTATACCAATGTTGGATCATGACTATGCTATTCACAAAGTAACAGAATCTGCAGTGACTCCAAGTGTGAATACCAGCAAAGGCCATACTAGCTGCATAACTCCGAGTACACCTAATACAAGTGCTACTTACACGGTTGTACATAACCCAGGAACATTTGTTAATGATGCCAGCAAGTCTAATTTCGCTCTGAGATCTGCTCTTCTATCATCCTCAGACAAAAAGATCATCAGAGTGGAGGGTCTGTCAACAGGCAGCCCAGTATACACGGTTACGTCTAGCAGTAAAAGTCCAATAAAGGATACATCACTTGGTGGTCAGAGAACCAATCCTGTAAGTATTTCAAAGATTGTCAAAATCCCATTTCTGCCTGGCATACAGGGATACAGTCCTGAAAAATACCAGGCTAACGGTCAGACTTTGAAACAAGTGGTGTCAAATTCTGGGCAACAGTTAGGAATGAAAGTTCCCACAATGGCTACTTCTACTGCACTACCTGCTATGAATAGTAATGCTGTTTGTGCTGATGATTCCCAACAAAATCAGATAGTGGTCAGCAGTGAAAACAGTGTTGCTTCAGATACACAGGACTCGTCAAAGTTCAGTGGTACCAGTTATTCGGGCAGCGGTATTCCTCCCGATCTTCTGACCGCTGAAATCACTAACAATTTAAAAGCAGGTCAAAAATACATCATAGATCATGGCAATGGAGTCCAAAAGAGCATGTTATGGGATGGCTCAATATTTATAGAAGGTAAGTGTGATCAGAAGTATCCAGTTACACACAAAATGTATCAAAGTCATATAAGTTTATGTATGTAAGCTTAAGCTAGCTATAAGGCATCTTAAAGTTGGTTATGTTTACATATAACCTCTTGGAAGTTGGATTTATATACATAATATTTAAGTTTCTGTGGTCAGATATTAATTCCCTTAAATGGAACATCAAGACTTCATTCAAAAGTTTAGTGTCTGTAATAATGCCAGGGTTTTTGCCAGCTGTTTTGGGAAAAGGCCCCTGAGCAGGTTTTGGAATAATATCATCCGCATTTGACAAAAATTGGAAAGTGTCCCCACATGTACAGGTCTGGGAAAATATCGTAAGTTTTGAAAAAATAAAACCTTCAATGTGTGCAAAAAGGTTTCCTCTAGCTGTTTTTTTACAGTAAAATGTATAGCAATAAATAAACACATCAGTTTTCAGTGTTTTTGTTTTATATTCAATTTCATTTTTTTTTTATGGGTTTTGAATGCTTCTTCATGGACGGTAACACTTTGAAAATATAATGACTGGAAACTTGTATAAACATTCCTTTTAATCCAATTGGGGAAAATAAAGACTGAAATTGGAAAAATACAGAGTCATTTTCCAATTGGAAATGGGTACCTGTACCGAACCCTATAAACACCTGGAAAAAACCCTGAATGCATTTTCTTCATAACTGTTCTTAAGGATGTCATAGGCCCCCAGACTTTGTTCATATTATTTCAAATGTCATGAAACTTAACAAGCATCTTCACATACACCACATCTTGTAAGAAATTGTGTTTCCACTTTCTCTGATGAAAAGACTTTTTTCATCAATGTTCAACAGACTTCAGTTCTTATTCCATTGTCATGCAAAACTTCACCTGCATGCTCATGGCATACGTTCAGAGCAGTGTCTCCAAATAATATCATCATTCAGACGCCCATTCTATTACACATGTGCTGTCATACCTAGCATTCTATTACACATGTGCTGTCATAACTAGCATTCTATTACACATGTGCTGTCATACCTAGCATTCTATAACACATGTGCTGTCATACCTAGCATTCTATTACACATGTGCTGTCATACCTAGCATTCTATTACACATGTTCTGTCATACCTAGCATTCTATTACACATGTGCTGTCATACCTAGCTATTTCGTCACATTGAACACTGTCTTTAAACTTGACAACCCTGATAATGATATTTATTTTTGTACAATACATGAATTTTGAATTTGCCTGTTTATAGAGACCAGTGAATCCAGCCATCTTAGTGGGGGTGGAGCTGGAGATGGCAATGGAGAGAAGGTGCTGAAGGGAAATGCAACTGGTCTCAATATGGTGGCTAAAAGGAAAGTGGGCAGGCCAAGGTACGGGGAAAATATATGAATTGATATAAGTGATGATCACTTGGGAATATTAGCTAAAGTCAATGGAGTTTAATAAACCTATCTTCATCATTATCCTCTCAAAATCTTGCTGAGGGAAATTTGTGTTCCATTTTTAGCTCACCTGGTCCGAAGGACCATGGTGAGCTTATGCCATACCGCAGCGTCCGTCGTCCGGCCTTCAACTTTTCCTTTAAAACGCTACTAGTCTTGAACGGCCATGTATATTTTGACTTAATTTGGTCTGGAGCATCCTTAGGCCAAGGGGACTCAATTTTGTATAAACGGTGGGTGTGGCCCCCCTGGGGGCAGAGGGGTGGCGCCAAATAATGGAAATAGAGGTAAAACCTTTAAAATCCTTTTTCTACCGTAGGGATTAAGGGGTTTTCTCCTTATTTAATCTGGAGCATCCTTGGGTCAAAGGGACACAATTTTGTATAAACGGCGGGTGTGGCCCCCCTGGGGGCAGAAGGGCGGAGCCGAATAGGGAAAATAGAGGTAAAACCTTTAAAATCCTTCTTCTACTGTAGGGATTAATGAGGCTCCACCCTTTCGCAATTAACCAGCAGATTTCAATGAAAGTTTCACATAATGGTTATGTCACTATGTAGAGATGATTTTATGAATTTTAAGCATTCCGATAAACTGGGGATTTGTAAAAAATACTGAAAAATTGATTTTTTGTCAAATTCAACACTTCCACATTTTTTGAGCATGTGGCATTATTCAAAACTATGACAACAATAAAATAATGAAAAGAAACATTGCTAATTAACCCTACTAATATTTTATTTATCATAAAATATCTACAAAGTGTTTCAAAATGCCTTTTTTATTGAAATTGTATGGAAAAAAGTTACAAAATACAATCTGATGAAAGACAGGACACATAGTTTCATACAAAAAGAGTGAAAAATTGAACCAAATACACACAAAGTCTTTATAATTCATTTATTTTACTTTTTACAATAATTTTGATCCTGATGAGAGTTGTCTACCTTAAAAAAAATCGGAACTTTTTGCAGAGGGTAGAATTTATGCAATGACACTTATTTTATTTACTATACCAAAAAAGAAATAAATGCCCGATACGGAAATAACGACACGGAAATACAACAAGAAAAACCTGTGTATTACAAAGGGTGGAAAGTCCTTAAGAGATTTTATCCTAAATTAGTCTGGAGCATCATTGGGCCAAGGGGACTCAATTTTGAATGAACAGTTAGAGTGGCCCCCTGGGGGCAGAGGGGCGGGGCAGCGTATGGGATATAGAGGTAAAACCTTTAAAATCCTTCTTCTACCATAGAGCTGAAAAGATTTCATCCCAATTTGATCTTGAGCATCCTTTATATACTGGTACATAACGTATAAGTAAACCTTAATGGTAGGGTGGTTCAGGATGTCAAGGTCACTGTCTGATAATGTTACTGTTTAAAGAAAATCTTTTATCATCACTCTAAAGACTCCATTTTTGAAAAGATTTTGTTCAAACTTCATGTATTGGTATTGTTTTAGAACACCTTGAAATAGTTTGTGTTTCAGACTGACAATTTAAGTGAAGTTTACCATAAGTCTTCATATAAAATCTTTGTAATCTCTTTAGCATATGATTGAATTTGTATCATTTGCGGTATCTTGTTACAAAATTGTATTAAGTGTTAAATCTTATCTTGTAATGTTTAATAATATAAAAGCATGTCAGTGCAAACTTTTTTGAAGAAATATATTAGCATTCTGTGATATATCTATGATAAAGCAAGGGATTATTATGATAAAAAAAAAAGATAACAAATAACCATTTCATAATTTCAGTTGTGTGCGGGGATGATATATAATTCTTTATTTATTTATTGCAGTAAGAACGCAGAGCTGATATTACCAAATGGTCGTACATTTCTTCATGCAGACAATCCTTCAGAGAAATATCTTGGCAGGTATGTATGAAAATCACATAATAAAGATTCTTGGTTAACACTATTTATGTTCAAAACATGGCATCACTTGTATGATATATATCAACTATTGATATTTCCCATTGAGATATGCCTGACCTTAGTGCTGGTGTAATCTCCCTGTTATGGTTACAAAGAAATGGGTGACAAAGAGATTAATAGTAACAAACCAAGCTGCAAGTTTGGACAGAATTCATATTTAGGAAGTAATCTTAATAATGTCTTTCCTGATATACTCCCATCCTTTTATCGTATTAAAAATAGGTAAGTGATAAATGAAGTATGATGATAAAAGGAGCTCTTAGCATTCTTTGTTTTGTGATAATATGTTTCAAGGAATCTTGCTTGTGTTTTATTAGACCGGCAATTCATCCACTACATAGACCGTCATTGGGAACAAGAAAAGAGTTTGATGCAGAAAGCTCTGCTCAAGGTAAGTCGAGCTATCAGGAAAGCTCCAAATTCTAAAAAACTTTAAACAAATCACAGATATTTTGTACTGTGGCATTAAATCTACAAATTAATTTGTATTAAGTGATCTGATGAAGGCTAATTATTAAGTACTGTTACAATATGTTGGGTAATTGCTAGGTGCAGATGTAGGGTCATTTTCATTGCAGTGTTACTTTAATGATATGACGGTTCCACAAATTCAACAAGGCGATGGCACATTTCTATTCAACGTATATCATGTGTAACAATCTAGACACCAGAATTCATCATCATGTGTAAATATGAAAACACTTGCATGATATCACAGGCATACATAACCTTAATATAAAATGATTTAAAAATTGTATGATATGATTTTTAATTATATGAATACTTTACAAGTATAAATTTATTTAAGTACCTGGCTACGTTTTAGATATTTTCTTCAGAAAAAGTCAGGACACCTTCACTTAGATCTTTAAGAAAATATTAAAGAGAAACATACAATAATCAATGTGAAGGGTATATCCAAATCATTTTACTGTGGTACATTGTATCATCTTATTCCAATCATTCATGCTTTATTGTATTGTAGAAGAATCTAGTCAAGGGGACACTAGGACAGAAGAATCATCTTGTGTGAAACGACAGAATGAGGTGAACAAATGTTTTGTTATTAATTCCTTGAAATAAAGGAATTATAAAAAAAAAATATAGGAAGGGGACTTTGAAGTCAAGAAATTTTCTAGAAAAAAGGATAGGGGACTTTGAAATCTGGTGGGGGTAAACAAAATGGCAAATTCTGGCCTGTACCTGGAGGATTTAAAATGTAGTATACATACTGATGATATCAATAAGAGACAGAAAATATTATTAATTTTACCTTTTTACTTATAACTGATCCTTGATAATCACTTAATTGGTGCCTGTATGTATATGATTTAGAATTAAAAAGGTTTATTTGATGGGAATAGATATATTATTGAAATTAATTTGAAATATCTTTATAAAAAAAATGTTTTTAATCAGTTAATTAATTTAGATGTTTTCTTTCCCAGGATGATGGAGAATATGTGGTTCACTGTAAATTTTGTGGATACACTAGTGGCAATACAAACTCATGTGAACGGTGCTATAGAAAATTCCCTGTTAATGTGAAAAAAGAACCAGTGAAGCGTCAAAAGATTGATGATAATGAATCAAAGAATGAACAAAATCAAAATGTTGTGACTAAAGAGTCCTTTTATGGCCAAAAAATTCAAGGACAATCTCAGCCATACAAAAGTTCTGTGCTTAGTGTACGAAGTGTGACCCAGAGAGGACGGAGGATCAACACACAGGGGCGATCCTACAACATGATCCGTATCACACCCAGTAAAAAATATGTAGAACCAGGTGAGTACCAGGAAAGGACCTTGTAGGGAGGAATATCTCTTGTGTCATAGAAGTATATTTGAAGATATACATTCTTAACTACATGTATTCATCAAAATACAAAGGAAGTTGTCTGGGTGCCTCTTCTTGTTTATTTCTTTTGCACTTTGAATATTCATCAAAATAATTTGCCTTTTCTTTTGATGTAAAAGTAATTTCACTGTCCATTAATATTTTCCAAGTAATAAAAGAAACAATTTACTAAAAAAAAAAAAAAAGAGGGAACTATTTATTTCTGAAATTTCATTAATTTTGCAACCTAGTTTTATTTGATTCGTGGTTGGTGTTATTTCCTGAACTTTTTTTCCAGTTACTGTGATTGTATCATCAGATGAAGAAGAGGATACTGCCACCCAAATAGCAAATCTAGAAAATCTTTCTTCATCATGTGTTCAGACTCCATCTAAAAATGGCTCTTCGAGTGCTTTACCTAATAATCAGATTAAAAACCGTTCAAAAACTGTCTCCGAAATGAACGAGGAAAATGATGAACTGTCAAAACTTGTGTCAATCATTCCTTCTGGGGGTTCCCCAACATTTAAGAACAGCAGAATTGGCAAGATGGAAGACAAGGTAAAATTGATGGTTTTGGGTTTTGGATTATGTTTTCATACAATTTGTATGTTTAACAATTTAATAGCTGAGTTTCTGATAAATATATCAGAAGTGTAGTTACTATAAGCTAGTGCTGGTTTAATTGATTTTGTCTCTTTACTATTTCCGTTGTTTGACTTTTTATTGTCACCAATATATTTTTGTCTGTCAATCAATAGATGAAATTATTGCATTGATTGAATATATTTTTAACATGTTCATATTCCGTCTTTGCGTATTGCAGAGTTATTTTCTCTTGGGAGCAGGTATTGATTGTTATGTCACTTGTTTGTGAGAGAAACGTCATCAATTTTTGAGAAAACGACGTAATTTTCTCACACAGACCAATGACGTAACAATCAATCCCTGCTCCCAAGAGAAGATAACTCTGCAATATGCAAAGATGGAATATAGGAATGTTGAACATTTCATAAATATTTCTTTTGAAGGAAGGGAATTTATTGGCAAAAATTAATGCCAGAACCACGTCTGACACACCTTCACCAGAACCGACGCCCAAATTAGACTCGCCAAAGGCCAATGTCCTCCAGTCATCGTCATCAGTGAGTCTCACACTCAATGCCCGTAGTGTCAAAGTGGGGTCACTGAAGGGCACACCAATAGAGCCTATCCTGATCTCGGACGACGGTGTGCAAATATTCATGGAGTGTAAGTCACAGCCAGAGCTGTATGTCATTTAACATTTGAAATGGTAGTAGCATTGACAGGTCATATGAAATTCATAATGGCGCAAGTTCATATGCAAGTGAACATGGTTCACCCATTTGAATAAGTTGTGACATTTTTGACAAGATGTTTTGCTAAAGCTAGTTATATTTTAGTTAAAAATGAAAATTTATAGACTCAATCTATGACTTCTTTTGAAATCATTTGTATGAAGCATAGACAAAAAATAGGATTCTTCATGATATTTGAACAGTAATTATTTTGCAGTTTTCATTTGTTCATAACTTATGAAATAAATTATTTGTAATTTGTACAGGTGAAGAAAATACTCATAAATTCAACATAGCCCCTTCAGACATGGACCAGTGCTTGTTACACCTGAAGAAATCAACACCGGTTATATTTATTCATACAACGGTAGACTTTGGAGCCAAACTGAGAGAACAGCTTGACATGACCAACACAACCCCTCCGCCAAATTCTACTGAGCCTTATTTTAATCCTGTTGACAAAGGCAAGTCAAGTCAGCACATTTGTGATTATCACTTTTATCTATTTTGATGTTTTTCATCTCTGCCATTGAAATTCAAATTTGCTTTGTGATATTTGGGATTATCTCTAGAGTTTGTCACTGAAATATGCGCAGGCATTCAGAATGAATGTAAGATTAGAAAGACGCAGGAGATGATAAAAGAGAAGTAAAACATTTTGTTAGCACATGAGTTTATTATATCCCTGCAACAAAGTTAGAGCAGAAGTATACTGAAATCGTCTTGCCCATCTGTCTGTCTAACTAAGACTCCATTTTAAGCCCTGAAATGACACCCCTGTCCAGATAACTTCTTTGGAACTATCTAACCAATTACAATGGAACTATCTAACCAATTACAATGGAACTATCTAATCAATTACAATGAAAGTTGAAAGTATATAAAGCATGTACTAGACTTGAAATGATGAATCTTTGATTTCAGAAATCAAGATTGCCACACTGATTTGTGAAAGTGATGCATAGGAGATATATTTTACGCTGAATGAGCTATTTAAAAGTTTCAGGATTCAAGATAGCAGTTGTTGCATCTGATTGTGACAGTATTGGCTGCAGTTTTATAAGCCAACTATGTGGGTTTGTGGGGAATGATTATTAGGAAATAAATGATCTGATTGATATATTTGTGCCCCTGAGTTCTGTTCACGACTGTTGGACCTATTTAAGTATCTTGCAATGTTTTATTGGTGACTCCTGGGATAGTTTTGATGACATTTATATAGTTGAATACACTGCTATTTAGTTTTCATTGGAGCAAGGGATATCATTTAGCTTTCAGTTTACTGTTGAACTTTAAAAAGGAAAGCTGTTTCATTGTGAAATTGCTAAGTAATCTATATTATCCCTCGATAAAAAACGGTCTTTCTGTACTTTCAATATAGTCTGAAGGACACTTTGGAAGGTTGTTTTCCTGTCTGTTCGTGTAAACAGCAAATGCCTTCAATGAATGGATTCATTTAATAATTGTTTGAAACATGAATTCATTACATTGTGTTGATTTTATCTTTCAGACCTGAAATACCAGTACATAGTGCTACTTCTACAGTCAGTTTCGATGCAAGAACAGAAAAACACATTAAAAGTGCTGGAGAGTTATCATCAAAGCATTGACAGCAAAGATCAGAATTTCATTGAGATGTTGAGTCACACAGAATCTCAGCAACTTCTCTTAAGCACATCATTCTTGTGTAAGAGGATGCCAACTTCTAGTATTGATGAACCCACACTACCAAATGTTGACAGTACCACAATGAAATCCAATGACATGAGCTGTGGACCAGACAACTCTGACATGGACACCAGTCTCGGCCCCCGGGAGCGATCACCTTCCCCTCCTCGCATTATGTTTTCTGGACCAATAGAAAAGTGAGGCAATATAACAATCATCCAATTTCATTTTCAATCTGTTTTGGCAATAGAAATAACTAAGGAAAGATACTGACAGAATTTGTTTCAAAAATTGTGAAATGGAAAGTACAGTATAACCTGTCTAAACCGAATGTCACCAGGACCAAACTATTTGGCTGTTTTACACAGGTGTCTAGTTTATACAGGGTTGCAAAAATGTAGTGTTTTGCATACGATCTGAATACAAGTGTGTCAACTTAAACAACAGAGAAATAAATCATTGCAAAGTTTAATTATTAACAAAATATACAGTTTATGATACAAATGAAGGGAGATCAATTTAGCAGCGGTTTGTCTAAGAAGTAATCTACAGTGAATTAATCAGGGGCTGGGGTTATCGTGTCATCTCCTGTCCGTGTCGTTGTCATCGTTCATCTCCTCGTTCTCCTTTTCATCTAAGAAAACATGAACAAGTGTAGGTTCCCAGTCTCCTGAATAAGTCTCCTCAGTTTCTATGCTCTCTTCAATTCCACTCGCATGATCTATATTGACGTGTGTCATGCCTTGAACGCACAGATGATACCAAGGACGAGTGGCTGTAGTTTCGTAAGTTATAACAATCACCCCTTGGGTGCTCGCAGTCGACCCTGACTCGACCCAACATTGGATAGTGCTAATTTGTTTAGAATGTGTTTGCTTTAGAATGTAGCCGGCAGAAAGAAATTTCAGGACCGGAATTAACAGGTTGTTTTTACATGGATTACTATGCCAACTTTTGTGAAACAACGCTGGTTTTCAGAACAGACAGAGTCTGGTTTATACAGGGTTTAACCACTATGATTATATAGGTAATATGCAGGGACCACAAAAATCACAGCCGGTTTAGACAGGGATCTGGATTAGACAGGGGCCGGTTTAGACAGGTTATACTGTATTACAGTTTGTGAGAGATTTAAATATAAACCAGGCTGAACTGTACCCAAATTCACAAAATTCGAACTTGCAACAGAGATCACACAGTTGTTTTTGTAGATGTCATTTATATTTCATTCTTTTTTGCTTTAAAAAAATGTATGTCCCCACCACTCCTGTCGCGTCACGTCAAACATCAAACACTGAAACTAATTTCACATGGTGACGGGGGCATTCATGTCTTACAGACATTTTCTAGTTAAATATATAATTTTAGATAAAATGGAAAACTGTCTGTTGATTTAAAAGATTTTGAAGAAAACAAAATGAGAAAATTGTGTACTATACTGTTAATAAACTTGAAGGCTAGTATATGTAAATGAATTTCCTTCTATGCTGATTTTGCAGGCTGATAACCTACCCACCTCCTCCAACCCCGGGGGGTATAGCAGTCACAAATGAAGACCTGTATTGTTTGAATGAAGGCGAGTTCCTCAACGATGTCATCATTGATTTCTATCTCAGGTAAGTATAGAGATTCTCTGTGGATATTACACCATAGGAGATCAAATAATTGGTCCTCTTATATTGCCAATCGCGCAGAGTATAGTATATAAATAAACACACCATTCAATTTGGCTGAATTTTTCTTTCCATGCCCATTGCATAAATGAAGTCTGAAGTTGTCATGGAATGTTCAAACTTTTCTCCAGTGATATTTCCTTCAGCAAATTTATATTGCATCAACAGAAAATTGTTAAACTCCAATTTTTGGGCTTCGAAAAAAGTTATTCGTGTGTTTGAGTTTTGTAAAGAAAGCAATTTGGATCAAATGATCTGTTTTATGTAAATATAGAGTATTTAGGGCTATTCAGGGTTACATCAGCAATAATAAATGTATTAGTGTGGGATAACACCACGAGGTACTTTTTATATGACCTCCACAATTGTTCTGTATTTATCACTTGTTGTAAACAGATTTCTCTACCTGGAGGTACTGAGTGAAGAGGTGAGAAAAAGGACACATATTTTCAGTTCATTTTTCTTTAAACGACTGACTCAACGGCAGGGCCGGGTGGCAGACTCGGCTCTCACGTAAGTATTTTCACACTGCAACCATTATAGAATTATGTCACTTTATAGTTATATCATTCAAATGTGAAATATAGGCAAAGCTTTTTCTAAGTTTGATTCCTTAAATTTGTTTTCTGTCATATTTTTATCACTCTTCATTGCTAATTTGTTCAGTTAGTATTTGTCAACCTGTATTTAGATTTTACTTGACCTTCAGTATTGGTGCAATATCATTGAACACTTTTAGTCTACTTCAAGGTGAGCACATACTTACATTAATCTCCCAATAAGTACAGTAATTTGTACATTCGACTTCGTATCATTATACTAGCATTGTCTGTTCCTTTAGGTGACATTAGCAGTCCTCTAAAATTAAAATGTATATGCAATATTATAATTTTTATCCTTATTTTGCACCATTATTTCAGTCCTGCTGAGAGGAGGCACGCAGCAGTGAAGAAGTGGACAAAGCATGTGGATCTGTTTGAGAAAGATTTTATCATTATTCCCATCAATGAACAGTAAGTTGTCTCACAATAATTACAAATTTCAACATTGTACATATTTAAAAATATTAATAGGTAAAACTAGTAGGTAATTAATGTTACAGGTAAAATATTGATGTATTACGTTTTCTTTTATTGTCATAATTAGGTCTGACACTTGAATCAAAGTCTCGGGTAACCTATTGGGACCGCCTTTTGTGTATCCTTTATCTGGTTACATGTTTATGTTCTCCAAAACCACTGAATCAATTTAAAAAAAAAAGCTTTCATGGTCAAAATCAAACCAAAGTTTGGGATTTTAATGTCCTTGAACATTGAAATATCATTTTATAGCACAATTGTCAGATAATAAGAATATTAGGGAAATACATTTCTGTTGTAATAAAAGTTTTATGCATTTAGGGCCAGTGCTCAATAACAGAAGTCTATATAAATAGAACACATTTGTACACTTCACTGTTGGAGTCTTTGGCCTTGACAATGTGTGCCTTGCTGTTCATGTCTCTGTTGTTTGTTCCAGTTCCCATTGGTTCCTGGCTATCATCTGTTACCCAGGATTAATGATGAATGAAAGTGTCTTCTATGTTCCGAAGCATCGAATAGAGGAAGTGTTTGGAGAACAGACAGGTACTCCAGTACCAGAAGACAGTGAGCAGATGGCTAACAGCGTGCCCACACCTGGCTCTGACAATGGAGGCGAGGCTATGGAGGTAGGGGGAGCAACATATAAAGAAGCAATATTTTTAGTCCAGCTGAGACAGTTCACGTCATCTGTCCATATTTTTTTTTTTTTATTTTGGACTAATTCTCACAAACTTCTGAACCTATTTTAATGAGAGAGAAAATTACATGAGGCTTCCATAGCTCTAGACAAACAAAAATTGTGAATTCTATTGATCTCACCCTCAGGTGACTGTTACGTTCATATACTTCAAAGGTTGAACCAAATTTGTAAGAAGTTTAAATTCACTAATTAATTTATTTTTCTTGTAGAAGTGATTTTCATTTTATAATGTTTTCTGCTTGCTATAAGTGCTATGATTTATGATTGTAGGAGGATGTGGAGGACAGCGAAGAGAAACCCATGGACACAGAGACGACGCCCACACCATCTACACCTCGGACACCAATGTCGACACCCACAAACACACCTTCCTCCACACCTGCCACCACACCCACCACAACGCCTCTCCACAAACTTGTGTACACACCATCATACACAAATTCCACAAAATCAACCCCAAAGGTAATGTAACAAAGAACATTTTGTACAAAAAACATTGAGTTAAATATGATTTATGTTTTTCCCAAGGTTTCCTACGCCTTTGAAAATAACTTTAATACATGATGGGATTATTAAAAAGTCACATACTGAAATTGGGTCTTAGTGTTTGTACTATTGAGTTATGACCTTCTTTTTTTTTGATAGTGAATTTTATCTGGAGGTTGGCAACTATTGCTGATATTACTTTGCCCTTTATTTAGGAAAAATAATTAAATATTGCATGTGACTGCATCATGTAATTTAATTGTTATACATGATTGTCTATAGAAAACTTTATTTGTAATATTTATATATATAAATGTAAATTACTTAAATTCTACATAAAGATATCTTCAATTTCTAACTATCTGCATCTGTGTAAACACCTTAAGTATAGAAAATTTTGCACAAATATTCTAGCATTTTCATGCATGTTGATGCCTAAATAACTGATGTATATTTCTTGGTGTTTTAGGAACTGCGGGGTCGGCTGCTACAGAATCATGAAGAGGTGGCAGTGGGAAAAAAAGGTTTTGTAGAAAGTGGACAACGAGTGTACGTATAGAAAACTAGTTTTACTCTAGGTGTTTAATATTCCTCAACTACTGTATTGGTTATGATTTTAACCGATCATCAATTTCAGAATATTATTTCAATTTAACTTATATTTCCTTCATTGTTGTTAAATTTAGGATTGTCACTCATTGGCAAATGTTTGAAAACCTTCATTTATTTTCATTCCCTGCAACAGTGGAGGGAGCATACACCCATCTGTTTGGGGACATCATTACTCAAATATTCTAAGTTGAAGCATCATCAAACTTAATATGTCATGACTTCATCTTGTGAACAAAACCAAAATATCAAACGTATGTCACTGTGATCAACTTTGCTAACTTGGTGTTTACTTCTGTTTTGCTCAGTCACTTTGGTTAAAGTTTATGTTTAGCTCCGTTTCCATCAAAATGGGACATGCTTTCATTTTCTAGTGAATAAAGTATTGTCAAATTGATATACATGTATTTTAAATTTAACAAATCAATTTGTTTGCTGAAAACATTGTGTTACTGTTGTGCGACAAAATTGTTAACAAGTCTAGATCTGGTGCTTAGATAAGAAAAAAAGTTCCTGTAGTATTTCAACATTATTTACCTGGTATATGAAGTTTGAATATCATTTCCCATTCCATGCCTCATATCACTTCAGTGGAATGGTTTTAATAAGTGACAAAGTTGCATGCCCTTATAACCTGGTTTTCTTTTTTTGTTACAGGCCATGTGTATTGATCTTTGATTCGCTGGCTGGCCCAAACAAAGCTAGAATTGTGACAACTCTGAAAGAGTGAGTTTTGTGTATGCATGTTTGTCCTTGTTTGTATATGTATTTATTATAGTTGCTTACTTAATAAGGATTTTTTGCTAATCATAACACTTTGCGAATTTATGTCACTCCCAAATATTTTGGTAAGAAAGAAAAAAATTAAGATTTGAACATACATACACTGTATTCATTGACTACACTGATGGTGAAAAGGTGTTAAATTGTCAACTATTTACTAATGGGATGTAATTATTTTTAAAACATTGGCTTAAGAGTTGTGCCTAGGTGTCAAAACATTGGGCTTCAGTTTTTTACTTGTCAGTTTTCAATTTGGTTAATATCAGTAGTCAGGTTAACATTGCTTGGCTGTACTTCAGGTACCTACAGGTGGAGTGGAACACAAAGAAAGATGTCATGTTTAACCTGAAGGAGCGGATTAGAGGCTGTACACCTCGAGTCCCCCAGCAGACCAACTACAGTGACTGTGGCCTCTACGTGCTGCAATACGTGCAGAGCTTCTTTGAGGTATTTTCATTAAAAACTGATTCCTAGTCATACTGGAATTTTATTTACTGTTTACTGTGACTACAAGCAGTTAGCTGTGATGGTATATCTGGCCTTTAACTTTCTGAATTTCCAATAATAACAAAAACATGTATTCATGTATAATTTCACACAAAATTCGTCATATTTAAATTCTGATGTGTAGAAAAATGCTAAATATGATATGTGTTGCATAGAGGATATTTAATGGTTTCTTCAGTTACAACAAATATGTTTCACCATCGTGGCTAATATTTTTATATTTTTCACGAGTGCACAGCACGAGTGAAAAAAATAGCCACACGTGAAATATATTTGTTATTACTGAAGACACCATTAAATGTTCTATTTATTACATTTTTAGCTCACCTGGTCTGAAGGACCATGGTGAGCTTATGCCATACCGCAATGTCTGTCATCCGTCCGTCAACTTTTCCTTTAAAAACGCTACTAGTCCTGAACGGCCCAGTAGATTTTTACTGAATTTGGTCTGGAATATCCTTCTGCCAAGGGGAGTCAATTTTGTATAAAGAGTGGGTGTGGCCCCCATGGGGGCAAAGGGATGGGGCCGAATAGGGGAAATAGAGGTAAACCTTTAAAATCAATCTTCTACCATGGGATAAAGGGATTTCATTCCAATTTTGGTAAAGGGGAATCAATTTTGTATAAACCATGGGTTTGGACCCCTGCAGGCAGAGTTGCAGGGCCCAATAGGGGTAAAAACCTTTGAAATCCTTCTTCTGCTGTAGAGATTAAGTGATTTTATCCTTATTTTGTAACAGAGAGCATGATTAATTAAATATAAATCACTGCCTCCGCATGAACCCGGACCTCTGGCTTACTGGTCTTACGCTCAACCGATCGAGCTAAAGAGAAGTTCTCTATAGCCGAGCGATATATTGCGGCTAGTATTTACCAGGGTTACATACTCCCCTTCCAGGAAAGAACTCGTCCTCGAGTTTTCCAAGGTTAACAGCGATGCTTGTGGAGCAAGGCCGAGTATTTTCCCCGGTCCCCACGTTGGGCGCCAATGTAACAGAGCGCATGATTAATTAAATATAAATCACTACCTCCGCATGGGATCGAACCCGGGACCTCTGGCTTACTAGTCTAACGCTCAACCGATCGAGCTAAAGAGAAGTTCTCTATAGCCGAGCGATATATTGCGGCTAGTATTTACCAGGGTTACATACTCCCCCTTCCAGGAAAGAACTCGTCCTCGAGTTTTTCCAGGGGTAACAGCGATGCTTGTGGAGCAAGGCCGAGTATTTTTCCCGGGTCCCTACGTGGGCGCCAATGTAACAGAGCGCATGATTAATTAAATATAAATCACTACCTCCGCATGGGATCGAACCCGGGACCTCTGGCTTACTAGTCTAACGCTCAACCGATCGAGCTAAAGAGAAGTTCTCTATAGCCGAGCGATATATTGCGGCTAGTATTTACCAGGGTTACATACTCCCCTTCCAGGAAAGAACTCGTCCTCGAGTTTTCCAAGGTTAACAGCGATGCTTGTGGAGCAAGGCCGAGTATTTTTCCCGGGTCCCTACGTGGGCGCCAATGTAACAGAGAGCATGATTAATTAAATATAAATCACTACCTCCGCATGGGATCGAACCCGGGACCTCTGGCTTACTGGTCTTACGCTCAACCGATTGAGCTAAAGAGAAGTTCTCTATAGCCGAGCGATATATTGCGGCTAGTATTTACCAGGGTTACATTTTGGTCTGGATCATCCTTGGCCCAAGGGGACTCAATTTTGTATAAACAGTGGGTGTTGCTCCCCTGGGGGCAGAAGGGTGGGGCTGAATAGGGGAAATTGAGGTAAAACCTTTAAAATCCTTCTTCTACTGTAGAGATTAAGGGATTTTATCTTAATTTGGTCTGGAGCATCCTTGGACCAAGGGGACTTGATTTTGTATAAACGGTAGGTGTTGCCCTCCTAAACGAATGATGAGGACCCTCTGGGAAATTTGAGGTTTAAATCTTTCTTCTTCTGTATGTTATGAGAATAATTTCCCATGGTTGCTTTATTATCCAGGTGAGCGATACAGGCCCTCTGGGCCTTTTGTTTTCAACATCAACCCAAAAATAACAACTTCATTGAAAAAGCAGTATTTTGGAATCGAAAAGAGAAAATTGTTTTTGAAAGAAGTGCATGTCCATTGCCTTATTTCTTGAAGTTTTCTTGTTCCATATATTCCAGGTAACTGGTGATATTTTGTTTCAGCCATGATTATATGAAACAGAAAGTGAAGTTCACTCTCACTGTATGGCATTTGCTGGGAATGCTCAAACCAATATTAATTTAGTTTCCAAGGCAGCCATTTATTTAAAGAATGTTTTTTCAAGAAAACCTTTAAATTAAAAGTGTAAAATTAGTGTTTTCCTTGCTAGTAATGAGATTCCATTTCTGGAAAAGAACATTTATTGATGATCGAAATCCAGGAATTTTTCTGTTTGTTCAATGGTATTGAAAATGGTGTTAAGATGTTGAAACAAAAATATCAATGTTCTTTTAGAAATATCTCTTAATGAAAACAACTTTGTTAATTTTCAGGACCCTTTGGTAGACTACTCATTTCCAATCAAGTGTTTACAAAACTGGTTCACCGAGGAGAGAATGAAAAAGAAACGACAGGAGATTAAAAACTTAGTGATGAGTATAAAACTGAAAAACGATGCAGAATTACTCAAAAAGTTGCAGCATTTGCAACAACTCAAACAGCAACAGTTGCAGCAAAGACAGACCGAAAACGATCGGGCACCTGAAGAACAACAGAACAGCGACAGTGAGAAGTCCTGACGAAGGCTGTGTTGTGTGTGAGAGTTGACTGACATAAACATTCAGGGATCACTACAATGCCATCCATTACCTACCTTCTGTTACCAGGATGCCATGTTCATCAAAGTCTGCGTAGCTTAACAACAGCTTACACACAATTTCAACTGCAGTCAAACCTGTCTTAAGGGACCACCTATGGGAATTCCAGAAAGTAGTCTCTTAACACAGGTGATTTGTTACTACAGGTTCTGTTAACAGAAATCACTAAAATCGCTGGTTGCATAAGCATGTATGACTGTAGTATATTTTCAAAAATATTTAAATTGAAATTCAGGTTCTATGTAAAAGAACTCAAAACGATCATTTAACAATAAAAAGCACAAAAATATTACATATTTTTTAGGATTGTTGTCAAAAACCACCTTTTGAAAATTGGCCTGAACTCATTTCCCCCTGAAATCTCATAATGAACTATTCCAACCTTTGAATTGGAAGAGTTCAAAGGTGTCTTCAGGAGTAATTGAGTTAATGAATTGTTGAAGCTTATCAGACTTTGAAGAACCTGGCATATATACCAGTATGCACCCAGCTGTTGTTTAATGTACGGGACATCTGCATTGCTGGACTGTTTAGGCTTGAGAGGAAGATCCTTGACCTGATGATTGCCATTTTAGTATAAGCTGGAAAGGTCTTCATCAATCTGAGCATTCTTTTCTGACAAATGAGGTTTTAACGGGACAAAATCATTCCAACCACAGGAACTGTTATGTGTTGCAATAAGGATTGTTTTATTTTAAACACTTTGAATTGAATACTACCAGTCTAGTTATATACTTGACTGTTATTCCTTTAAAGCACAAGACCTTGAGTAATGTGTGTATTACTGTCTGGTGAACACGACGTTAAGATAGCGTGACCAATATTATACTCAAGTTCATACATTTCTTCTGGTGTTAACCAAATCCTGAATTAATTCCTAAGTTGGTTTATAATTGTTATAGTAAGTTCTGTGAATATAATGAATTAACCACTAATTCATACAGTATAGTGATCATAGTTTTTCACTGCAAAGTTGGCCATTTTCCTTCTCAATGTTAATTACTATTTTTTAACACTTCTCTTTAATAATAGTAATACATACATATGGTTGTGTATGTTGGAGTTATTACCTTATGATTAGTTTCCAGTGTCACTCATGTTAAACTATTCACTCAAATGAAATTTCACATTCATTCATGTTGGATTTCAATGGATATTAAATGACATTTAGTTGATTTATATAGCCTACATATTTTTTACACCATTTAGACATGCAAAACAAAATTAAATTGATATTTAATAAGAAATTTGTGAGCTAGAGTATAACATGAAATCACTGGCCGTGTGATTCCTGACAAGACAACACGATATGAGCTGGTTGCGTATTTGTAAGGATATCAGGTTTTAATTATGTTGTTATCTTATATGTTAAATTTTCTAAAGGTAGATATCAAAACACAAATATAGAATGAAGGATGTTAAGTTTTGAGTGTAAATGATATTAAATATCTGATAAACGCATTACAGTTATTAACTAACATCAGTATTTCATATATTGATTTCCAGCATTTCCCAACATTTAAATGATAGGGTTGAAATAGCAATACAATGTACCAATAAATTAAACTTGTCCGAATGAGGAAATTTTGTAGTCATTCTTATGATCCAAGTTTTGGGATAAGTATTAGGATTTGATTTAAAATTTACCATGTTCTTTTTTACTATAGCATTTAACATTTAATTTTATTATCAGTGTGTCATATTTTGAAGGTACAAAATTCATCCTCGGCATATGGATCACTTGTCCTTCTTTTTTTTTAAACATGAATAAAGAAATCTGCATTAATGAAGAATCATTGAATGTGTGAAAGCATGGGCTATGACAAAGCAATCATGGAAAATTAAATAGATAACAAGATGTCTTAAAAATCAATTAAACATTGTTGAATAGTTTATATTTCATTCAAGAGCATTCTGATTTTGGATGTAGTGGTACTCGACAAATCCATTATTGTTCTTTCATTTGTTCAACAAACAGCGTTGTATGTGTTTAAATGGTATCTGTGATTCACATAAAAATGTCCAATAAATAACGTGTGAAGTCCGTTGTACATTGAAACCATTATTATTTCAGTGACTATCTTATGTTGTATCTATTTGTGTTTTGGAGTTGTTTGGTCCCCAGATATCATTGAAGGGGTTGGCTGGAACAGTATTGTACCAGTGTAGTAATAATGTACTGCAAACCACACCTCATTGCATCTCATCTAACATGAATGTGTGAAACTGTAATAATTTTCACCAGTTTCACAAGTTAAAACCACCGTTCACAACACCATTGCGAGGATTTTTTTCAATGATAAAGAAGGTTATGTAACTGCACAGTTTTAGTAGTAGCAATGCTGCTACGTTTAAGTTTGTGTTCTAACTTAACAAACTTCCATGCATTGGATAGTTCAAGAACAGGTAAACTGCCATGGTATCTATTTCTATGAATGAAAGTTTAAGGTGATAGAGTTCACATCTTATTGGCAGTATTGGTTTACAAGCAACATATTGAAATGTACAACAACTTGATTAGAGGTCACACCAGCTCAATTAATAGATGTTTTTCAAGAGTTTTTTTGTTAAATGTATGGAACAAGAATAATATATTGCTAAAAGTGAATCGGTTCCTTTTAGGCATCAAGGAGGCAAGCTTCTTACACTGCATAATTTGTCATGGTGCTGTTTGCAGAGTGATGAAATGGAATACATGTATGTTTTGTGTGTAAGAAGTCGGGTAAAAAAGGCTATGCTGAAGAAATCGTTATTACTTGTTGAAGTAATTTATCTACTGTGTTGGCTCATCTCTGGGATTTACTATTTTACTTTATGTTCATGCTGCTAAAGGTCTTTCATAACTGATGCTTTTGTGCAATGCAGAAGCCGTTAAGTAGAATTCAATGTGCCTGTATTTTTCAAATGGAAAGTATATTATCCTGTTTCAATAATATAAAGTCACTTAATATAGTTTACATAGTATCTTTAATACAAAGATAAATTTTACAATAGTATGTAGGGATATAAAACATCTTGGTTCGATTGTGTTTTGTGTTTTGTGAAAAATAATTTAAACTTGGTTGAAGTGAATATCATGGGATAGCAGATTGATGATATGAAAATTAAGACCTGAAAAGATAGAGGTGAAAAAGGTCGAACAAAAATGTATAACCTTTTCTTAAAAATCATAAGGCTTAGAGGTGTATGTTTTAATTCCATAATAATCAACATTTAAAAACTGGAACAATGGAGATTAGATAAATAGACTTGTATAGATTGTTTCCCCCTCTGATTCTTACCAGCTTTATATATGAAATATGTTTGTCACTCCCAAACATTATTTTTCGGCACATCAACAGTTGCTGTTTACGCATTGTATGAACGGCCTTGCATTGTATAAATGAATAATTCCAGGTCCTGTTACAACAACAAAACACAACTACATGTATTAATAATATTTAAAGTGACCATTAAGGCCCTTGACCTTTTGTTTAACTCGCACCTTCATCATGGAAATTGGATGCTGCGAAATGATGCTGTTACTTAAGGTCTATATCTAGCCAATTCAGTCATTTTCAAAAATCCAAGACTCTCATAGCTCATAGCCATCTGTGTCTGGTAGTACATTGTATTTGCAACTTGTGATGACCAACATCAGTTTCCAGGTTTTTAGAATGTGAGAAATCTAAGTATAGTTGTCTAAAGATGATTGTAAGAATGAGAGGGAGATTTATCATGTTTGAATGGAGAGATTAGATCTGAGTTTGATGTGTAAGTGAAGGATTCATACAAAGTGTATAATAACTGTTCTGGGGTGAAAATGTCTGTATATATTGTATTATAAATTTGAATACATAACATTGTTGGTAAATGATGTGTTTTGAGGTTTTGCATATTGATTTCAAAATATTTTCATTTTAAACATGATCATTACAAACAAGAAAATAATAAATCTGTGATTTTATTGTGTTGTAAACTGCTTTAGATTTTAATTATTTTATCGATCGGAAGATATCCACATGACTGCTAAAAAATGTTGACAAACCATGGTGACCAGATGACCTCCTGACTTGTAATGTTGATAAACCATGGTGACCAGATGACCTCCTGACTTGTAATGTTGATAAACCATGGTGACCAGAGGACCTTATGACCTGTAATGTTGATAAACCATGGTGACCAGAGGACCTTATGACCTGTAATGTTGATAAACTATGGTGACCAGATGATCCTATGACCTTTAATGTTGATAAACCATGGTGACCAGATGATCTTATGACCTGTAATGTTGACAAACTAGGGTGACCAGATGACCTTATGACCTGTAATGTTGATAAACCATGGTGACCAGATGATCTTATGACTTGTAATGTTGATAAACCATGGTGACCAAATGATCTTATGACCTGTAATGTTGATAAACCATGGTGACCAGATGACCTTCTGACCTGTAATGTTGACAAACCATGGTGACCAGATGACCTTCTGACCTGTAATGTTGACAAACCATGGTGACCAGAACACCTTTTTACTTGTATTGTTGACATAATTTACTGTACATGTTATATTAGAACATTTTACCGTACTGATTTTCAGTGACAAAATGGAACCCTTAGACTGAGGATGTCCCCAGATATCAGAACTCAGAACCCTTAGACTGAGGATGTCCCTGGATATCAGTACTTGGAACCCTTAGACTGAGGATGTCCCTGGATATCAGTACTTGGAACCCTTAGACTGAGGATGTCCCTGGATATCAGTACTTGGAACCCTTAGACTGAGGATGTCCCTGGATATCAGTACTTGGAACCCTTAGACTGAGGATGTCCCTGGATATCAGTACTTGGAACCCTTAGACTGAGGATGTCCCTGGATATCAGTACTTGGAACCCTTAGACTGAGGATGTCCCTGGATATCAGTACTTGGAACCCTTAGACTGAGGATGTCCCTGGATATCAGTACTTGGAACCCTTAGACTGAGGATGTCCCTGGATATCAGTACTTGGAACCCTTAGACTGAGGATGTCCCTGGATATCAGTACTCGGAACCCTTAGACTGAGAATGTTCCTGGATATCAGTACTCGGAACCCTTAGACTGAGAATGTTCCTGGATATCAGTACTCGGAACCCTAAGACTGAGGATGTCCCTGGATATCAGTAATTGGAACCCTTAGACTGAGGATGTCCCTGGATATCAGTACTCAAAACCCTTAGACTGAGGATGTCCCTAATATCAGAACTTGGAACCCTGAGACTGAGGATGTCCCTAGATATCAGAACTTGGAACCCTTAGACTGAGGTTGTCCCTGGATATCAGAACTCGGAACCCTTAGACTGAGGATGTCCCTAGATATCAGTACTTGGAACCCTTAGACTGAGGATGTCATTGGATATCAGTACTTGGAACCCTTAGACTGAGGATGTCCCTAGATATCAGAATACAGAACCCTTAGACTGAGGATGTCCCTAGATATCAGTACTTGGATCCCTTAGACTGAGGATGTCCCTGGATATCAGTACTTGGAACCCTCAGACTGAGGATGTCCCTGGATATTAGTACTTGGAACCCTTAGACTGAGGATGTCCCTGGATATCAGTACCTGGAACCCTTAGACTGAGGATGTCCCCAGATATCAGAACTCGGAACCCTTAGAGTGAGGATGTCCCTGGATATTAGTACTTGGAACCCTTAGACTGAGGATGTCCCTGGATATCAGTACTTGGAACCCTTTGACTGAGGATGTCCCTAGATATCAGAACTCGGAACCCTTAGACTGGGTTTGTCCCTAGATATCAGTACTTGAAACCCTTAGACTGAGGATGTCCCTGGATATCAGTTCTTGGAACCCTTAGACTGAGGATGTCCCTAGATATCAGTACTTCGAACCCTTAGACTGAGGATACCCCTGGATATCAGAACTCGGAACCCTTAGACTGAGGATGTCCCTAGATATCAGTACTTGAAACCCTTAGACTGAGGATGTCCCTAGATATCAGTACTTGAAACCCTTAGACTGAGGATGACCCTAGATATCAGTACTAGGAATCCTTAGACTGAGGATGTTTCTTGATATTTGTACTTGGAACCCTTAAACTGAGGATGTCCCTGGATATCAGTACTTGAAACCCTTAGACTGAGGATGTCCCTAGATATCAGTACTTGGAACCCTTATACTGAGGATGTTTCTTGATATTTGTACTTGGAACCCTTAGACTGAGGATGTCCCTGGATATCAGTACTTGGAACCCTTAGACTGAGGATGTTCCTGGATATCAGTACTTGGAACCCTTAGACTGAGGATGTCCCTGGATATATCAGAACTCGGAACCCTTAGCCTGAGGATGTCCCTGGATATCAGAACTCGGAACCCTTAGACTGAGGATGTCCCTAGATATCAGTACTTGAAACCCTTAGAGTGAGGATGTCCCTGGATATCAGTTCTTGGAACCCTTAGACTGAGGATGTTTCTTGATATTTGTACTTGGAACCCTTAGACTGAGGATGTCCCTGGATATCAGTACTCGGAACCCTTAGACTGAGAATGTTCCTGGATATCAGTACTTGGAACCCTTAGCCTGAGGATGTCCCTTGATATCAGAACTCGGAACCCTTAGACTGAGGATGTCCCTAGATATCAGTACTTGAAACCCTTAGACTGAGGATGTCCCTGGATATCAGTTCTTGGAACCCTTAGACTGAGGATGTTTCTTGATATTTGTACTTGGAGCCCTTAGACTGAGGATGTCCCTGGATATCAGTACTCGGAACCCTTAGACTGAGAATGTTCCTGGATATCAGTACTTGGAACCCTTAGACTGAGGATGTCCCTAGATATCAGTACTTGAAACCCTTAGACTGAGGATGACCCTAGATATCAGTACTTGGAACCCTTAGACTGAGGATGTTTCTTGATATTTGTACTTGGAACCCTTAGACTGAGGATGTCCCTGGATATCAGTACTTGTAACCCTTAGACTGAGGATGTCCCTAGATATCAGTACTTGGAACCCTTAGACTGAGGATGTCCCTGGATATCAGTACTTGGAACCCTTAGACACATTATTTGCGTCTTTTAATATAAGACCAGTGTGACACAGCAGGCCTTTTCCTGGCTTCTCCAAGGTCCCTTCAGCAAAAGACAGAAGGAATCGTCCCCGATTCTGCAGGGATCCCCACATTAGTAGCAGCCAACCACATGCAGTGGGATACAGTTAGTCTTATTCTTTCCTTGGAACTGCACAGATTCTGTATGGAAATATTTCCTTTCATCAAATAGATATAAACCTATGATGTATCTTCATATGTAATAGAAACTTCTGCTGAAAACTGCTTAACATGTCCAAAGTTTAACAAAAATCCAAGATAAGTACAATACAAAGACATGCACATGATTACTGGGGTACTTTAGATCAGTGTTTTCATTTAAGACTTAATTTCATCCTTTTCACCTGTATGTTTTTTTGTGGGAGTACTTCAATTCATGATTGAGATCATTAATGCTATTTAAATATTTATTGTAAATTAGGTATGGGCTTCAAACATTGTATTAGTACAGGTCCTTCTTTCTATAATTGTAGCGTCATGTATGATCCTTAACTTTTCAATTGTTAAGGATGTCTTGATGAAACTTTCAGTAAATCTGTATCTCCCAAAAATGTTGTGCAGTGCAATAAAATAAGGTCAGTGGCGTTGATCGTAGGTTAAAGGTCAAATAGGTGAAAATTTTAAGCAGAATCCTGTCTGGGCCATAAATTTAGAACTGTTAAAGTTCATTTTGTTATGAAGCTTTGAAGTGTACCTGCATCAACCACAGTAGATATGCAGTACACTGCAATTAGGTCATCTTACCTTCACCTATAGGTCAAAGGTTATCCAAGTGAAAAATTTTCAGTGAAATTGTGTCAAGGCTGTATCTTTGAAATGGTTAAAGATATTTTTTTTGAACTTGCAGTATGCATGCATCACCAACAGGTGCAGAGTGCACTGCAATTTACGGTTTGTGTTTGTGACATTCAGTTCTAGGTAAAAGGTCAAATCACTGCAAGAATTTCAGTGAAATAAAAAAAAAGGTTATCTTGTCCAGGGTGTATGTTTTAAGCTCCTTCAGATGTTTTGATGAAAAGTTGAAGTAAACCTGCACCATATTTAGGTCAACGTTACCTCCACCTTGAAATTTAGTGTTGACTAAATGCAAAATCAAATTCACATTCGGCAACTAAGGGAAGACCTACTTTTTTGTTTGCAAAAGAAAAATCTCTAGTAATCCATGAAATGAATATCTGCAGGATCTTTGAATTCCCGAATATGTCTCCTCTCAAATTCGCAAAAAAATGAAGTGATTTATCGGTAAACATACCTGTTAGGATTAATAAGGTTCAACCTTTATTCTGTAATATTCTGACATCATATCAAACTTCAGGTAGGCAGGAAGGTCACTGTAAATAGGGAGAAGGTTAAAACATTTGAGTAAGAGGGAAACAATAGATAACTAAATAATGGATTTCTTTTGAAAGTCTCCAATATAGATTTGAAAACATGCATTTAAAAGCATTGTTCAGGTAAATGTATATGCTTATCATAAAGTCAGGAAAATTGCAAAAATATTTAAACGAAAATAAATAAACTTTTTTGCCTTTTTACTGAACACAGTAATTTTTTGGCAGGAAAATTTAAGAACAACTTTGCTTTTATTCAGTCTAAACAAACTCTGCATCAAGTTCTTTCATTAACACATAATCCTTCATAGCAGATGGGATGGGGAGTTCAGAAAGTCCATGGTAAAACTGTATACCAAGATGGTGCCTTATCCACCTTCGACAAATTTGCTTCAAGGTCATGGTGGAATCTTGAGCATGCTCCAGCCAGTCTTCAATGTCCTCCCAGTCGTCAAACATCTCCTTGATGTCCTCATGATGCAGGTAGGTTTTCAGGTGATGGCGATCGTAACCGGTCATGATAAACAGTTTGAGGACGGAGAACAGACCTAATGTTAGTGCTAAAAATGTAGGACAGCATTCCGCGTCCACAAAACTGGCACATTGGAAACTGTCTGCGAGACAGTTGGCCTTCAGAAGAAGCCTTACCACTTCAATGCGTTTATTTTTTATGGCGTACCATAACGGGGTGCGTTTGTGTTTGTCATACAAGTTAATATCTCCTCCGGCTATCACAAGGTCATTGATACATTCTGAATGACCTTTATAAGCAAGGATATGAAGAGCTGTCTTGTTGACCGACGCATTGGCTATGTTGACATCACAGTTAGCCTTACAGAGAGATTTAACAACCTTGTCAAACCCCTCTGTGGCGGCCATCAAGAGTGGAGTTATGTTGTCTTTGTCCACAACGTTGGGGTTTGCCCCCGCCCTCAGTAACATGTCCACACCCATTGCTTTATGACTGCTGTAGTGCAGCGCTGACCATCCCTCATTGTTTTGGATGTTGACATCACAGCCTGCTGCGATCAAAAGCTGCATGATTGTGTGGTGATTTTTTTTACTTGCTAAAATCAGTGGAGTACTGCCACTGGAATTTTTATTATTGATCTTAGCACCGTTGTTTATTAGAATATTCATGCATTCTTCAAATCCAAATTGTGCCGCAACATGGATTGCCCGACTATTTCCCCCTCCAATTGCATTGACATCTGCCTTTGCCTGGATCAGCTGTTTTAAAGCTTTAGGGTGGTGGTTTTGAACTGCCAGATACAAAGCTGTGTTTTCGTTGCCATCTTTGGTTTCTATAGCAACAATGTCAGTTGCTATGATACATTCGAGACAGTCATTGTGTCCAAGTTTAGCTGCCTGTAAAAAGCCAAGTTCAAGGTCACGATGATTCACTGACTGGGGCACTTTCATCAAGGCATTGAGAATTCTCGCATTGTCATTGGTAACTGCACTCAGCACACTGCAAGTACCAAAAAAAATCAATCTGGTATCATAAATACAAACAACTTGCCATTTCATCAAAGAACTATTTAACTAGCTTAACAATTAAAACAAATATATAGCATCTAAAATGACGAAATGCAGACTTTTTGTGTGTAAATACGTATATCAGTTTTGAACATTTATATAAGCAATGAAGTTATAGTGACAGTACGGACAAAAGTTTTTTTTTTTTATTAATTAATTTATAAAGAGATCACAGAGGGAGCTTGGTGCTAAATTACCATTGTAAGATCGTCATTTGTTCTATGTAAGTTTGATATTTTCTTGTCATAATTTCACTTATCTGCTGAGTTGGGAATTTATTTATAAAGATTTCTGAGAGCCAAATCAAAAGGAATGCAAATGATAAGAACTTATAAAGATGGCGACCCCTTCACTACTTTCTGAGTTATAACAATAACAAAGCCAAGATGGCTGCCCATATGATATGGACCAAGGGTTTCTTCTTGTAAATTTTGAGAAAGATATTTCCAGTATTTTTTGAGAAATTATTATAATGACAAAAATTGTTTTAAGGACAAAAGGCAATTTAAATAGTCATGCACCATCTCAGATTATATATTTGGCTAAAAACTGTGGATGACATCACAATTAATACTACAAAGAGTTTACAAATAAATGTTATATACATATAGCAAAACATGGTTATAAAAGGGAATCTAAGAAAGGCCGACTAAGATATTGAAGTTTTTAAACAGTTTGATGTTTAGGAGATAATTTCTTACCAGGAAACACAAAGGTTACCTTATTTTAACCAAAAAAAACATCAGCTTCAACTTAAATGGGACTCGACAAAGTCTGTAGACGGTCATAAGAAGCAGCTACTGTGTTGGTTACAGTTTGGTACATATGTCACAGGAGAGGGGAAATTTAATGTGGCCAGATTGCATGAGATTCAAACCCAGGACCTCTGAACTTTAGACAGATGCTCTAACCAATTGTCAGCTACCTGATCACTGGTGAGTGATAGAGTCACTCTGCTCTACCCTGCCCTGCCGGCCCTGCCCCGCCCTGCCCTTCACTGCTGCCAAAACATATATGGAACAACTTGCAACAAGTTCTAAACATATGACAACTGCCAACATTAGTTTAAAACAATTATAGACATAGAGAAACTTTAAGACATCAATTTTAAAAGTACAGTATTGAAATAATTTTGTTAAAATTTTTAGTTGTTAGTCATTTTGACAAGACTTCGATAGGATACTGTTTAATTCATTTTTGTAAAGTGTATGACGTACATCCTTAGTACTTCCTCTACTCCTGTAGAAATTTTATTTTCGGAACAAATTCATAAGACTATTATCACATATCTGTAGAAATTAGTGGGTTTTTTTTTTTTTATATCATGAGGGAAAATATAACGTCACGAGATACTGTGTAAAAATTAAAAAAATATGACCACAGTTTCCTTAATAAAAAATCTGCCTTTGAAAGACATGCAAGCTTGTCAACGACGTCGCACGTGGTCCTGTCAAGAACATCGTTTTTGCCCCATGAGCTCAAAACAAAATGCATCAACTGAAAACTGCAATGAATGATACATGGATTGAGACCGATGTTGGAAAGTGCAAAGGCACTTGTACTGTGTAAGCTGATTTTACGATAACTCAGTAGCCGAGTAGGGAACATCTTGGACTTGGTGAATAATAATAGCTATATACGCAACCTGAGTTACGCGTTTCAATGACAAATGAACGTACCTGGCCATGGTAAGGCATTGGTGCCCTATTTCTCCTCTAACTTGAGGAATCCAAAACGTAGTTCCTGTGATGAAATATGATACTGCATGTGCATTACACACATAAAGGGGAGACAACTCTGCTTAGCCTATCCGAAAAATCCAATCTTAGCCGTTTGACTACAAATTGTTGATCAACTTCTGTCTAAATGTCGTATCTTATTCTAAAACATTTTAAAAATAATGAATTAAATCCAAAAAACAAACAAACAAACAAAACCCATACATGCATTCACAGCAATTAACAAAGAAATGTGATCTGGAGAAATCACTGTTATAGTATACTTATTACTGGGATGCATTTCAAGGAATGGTATTTTCTGTGGAAGTTGTCTTTCTTGATATAATTTTCCCAAAATGATAATTTGAAGTCATTTCTCCACCTCACCACGTTTATTGAAGATTATCTGAAGGAACAACAGTTAAATACGGCAATATCAATTATTCATTTATTGGTGACAAACTAAATTGCGAACAGAAGTCTATATATATAGCTCTCCAAATTGCCTGAATTGTACTGCAGTACATGTAGATCACTGCATTAACTGAGAAACAGGTTTCAGCCATAGACTAATAAATTAAATAAATGAAAGAATCACAAACATATCAAAGATTTCCTTTATGAAGTTATGCAAATGTGGTAAACCTTCAACTTTGAAGAAAGAATATTGGGTCTTGGTTTTACAAAGTATGGTTAACTTACCACTGTGGACAGAATACCAGGTCCTAGTTATACAAAGTATGGTTGACTTATCACTGTTGACAGAATACCAGGTCTTAGTTTTACAAATTATGGTTAACTTACCACTATAGACAGAAAACCAGGTCGTAGGTATACTTAGTATGGTTAACTTACCACTATAGACAGAAAACCAGGTCCTAGTTATACAAAGTATGGTTAATTTACCACTATAGACAGAACATCAGGTCCTAGTTATACAAAGTATAGTTTACTTACTACAGGAGTGACAGAATACCAGGTCCTAGTTATACAAAGTATGGTTTATCTTCTACAGGACTGACAGAATACCAGGTCCTAGTTATACAAAGTATGGTTAATTTACCACTATAGACAGAACACCAGGTCCTAGTTATACAAAGTATGGTTAACTTAACACTAAAGACAGAATGCCAGGTCCTAGTTATACAAAGTATGGTTTTGTTTACTACAGGAGGGACAGAATACCAGGTCCTAGTTATACAAAGTATGGTTAATTTACCACTATAGACAGAACACCAGGTCCTAGTTATACAAAGTATGGTTAACTTAACACTAAAGACAGAATGCCAGGTCCTAGTTATACAAAGTGTGGTTGACTTACTACAGGAGTGACAGAAGGGGGGGTCCTAGGTATACAAAGTATGGTTAACTTATTACAGGAGTGACAGAATCCCAGGTCCTAGTTATACAAAGTATGGTTGACTTACTACAGGAGTGACAGAATACCAGGTCCTAGTTATGCAAAGTTTGGTTAACTTACCACTATAGACAGAAAACCAGGTCATAGGTATACTTAGTATGGTTAACTTACCACTATAGACAGAAAACCAGGTCCTAGTTATACAAAGTATGGTTAACTTACTTCAGGAGTGACAGAATACCAGGTCCTAGGTATACAAAGTATGGTTAACTTATTACAGGAGTGACAGAATCCCAGGTCCTAGTTATACAAAGTATGGTTAACATACTACAGGAGTGTCAGAATACCAGTTCCTAGTTATACAAAGTATGGTTAACGTAACACTAAAGACAGAATGCCAGGTCCTAGTTATACAAAGTGTGGTTGAGTTACTACAGGAGTGACAGAATACAAGGTCCTAGTTATACAAAGTATGGTTAACTTACTACAGGAGTGACAGAATACCAGGTCCTAGTTATACAAAGTATGGTTGACTTACTACAGGAGTGACAAATACCAGGTCCTAGTTATACAAAGTTTGGTTAACTTACTACAGGAGTGACAAAATACCAGGTCCTAGTAATACACAGTATGGTTAACTTACTACAGGAGTGACAGAATACCAGGTCCTAGTTATACAAAGTATGGTTAATTTACCACTATAGACAGAACACCAGGTCCTAATTATACAAAGTATGGTTAATTTACCACTATAGACAGAATACCAGGTTCTATTTATACAAAGTATGGTTAATTTACCACTATAGACAGAACACCAGGTCCTAATTATACAAAGTATGGTTAATTTACCACTATAGACAGAATACCAGGTCCTAGTTATACAAAGTATGGTTAATTTACCACTATAGACAGAACATCAGGTCCTAGTTATACAAAGTATGATTCACTTACTACAGGAGTGACAGAATAACTGCTCCTAGTTATACAAAGTATGGTTAATTTACTACAGGAGTGACAGAATACCAGGTCCTAGTTATACAAAGTATGGTTAATTTACCACTATAGACAGAACATCAGGTCCTAGTTATACAAAATATGGTTAATTTACCACTATAGACAGGACATCAGGTCCTAGTTATACAAAGTATGGTTAATTTACCACTATAGACAGAATACCAGGTCCTAGTTATATAAAGTAAGGTTTACTTACTACAGGAGTGACAGAATGCCAGGTCCTAGTTATACAAAGTATGGTTAATTTACCACTTTAGACAGAATACCAGGTCCTAGTTATAAAAAGTATGGTTTACTTAATACAGGAGTGACAGAACACCAGGTCCTAGTTATACAAAGTATGGTTAACTTACTACAGGAATGACGGAATACCAGGTCCTAGTTATACAAGGTAAGGTTTACTTACTACAGGAGTGACAGAATACCAGGTCCTAGTTATACAAAGTATAGTTTACTTGCTACAGGAGGGACAGAACACCAGGTCCTAGTTATACAAAGTATGGTTAATTTACCACTATAGACAGAATACCAGGTCCTAGTTATACAAAGTATGGTTAACTTACTACAGGAATGACAGAATACCAGGTCCTAGTTATACAAGGTAAGGTTTATTTACTACAGGAGTGACAGAATACCAGGTCCTAGGTATACAAAGTATGGTTAACTTACTACAGGAGTGACAGAATACCAGGTCATAGTTATACAGAGTATGGTTTACTTACTACAGGAGTGACGGAATATCAGGTCCTAGTTATACAAAGTATGGTTAATTTACCACTATAGACAGAATACCAGGTCCTAGTTACACAAAGTATGGTTTACTTACTACAGGAGCGACAGAATACCAGGTCCTAGTTATAAAATGTATGGTTTACTTAATACAGGAGTGACAGAATACCAAGTATGGTTGACTAACTAAAGGAGTGACAGATTCCCAGGTCCTATTTACACAAAGTATGGTTTACTTACTACCACTATAGACAGAACACCAGGTCCTAGTTTTACAAAGTATGGTTAATTTACCACAGGAGGGACAGAATACAAGGTCCTAGTTATACAAAGTATGGTTCACTTACCACTATAGTCAGAATACCAGGTCCTAGTTATAAAAAGTATGGTTTACTTAATACAGGAGTGACAGAATACCAAGTATGGTTGACTAACTAAAGGAGTGACAGAATACCAGGTCCTAGTTATAAAAAGTATGGTTTACTTAATACAGGAGTGACAGAATACCAAGTATGGTTGACTAACTAAAGGAGTGACAGAATACCAGGTCCTAGTGATACAAAGTATGGTTAACTTACTACAGGAATGTTATACAAAGTATGGTTAACTTAACACTAAAGACAGAATGCCAGGTCCTAGTTATACAAAGTGTGGTTGAGTTACTACAGGAGTGACAGAATACCGGGTCCTAGTTATACAAAGTATGGTTTACTTACTACCACTATAGACAGAACACCAGGTCCTAGTTTTACAAAGTATGGTTAATTTACCACAGGAGTGACAGAATCCCAGGTCCTAGTTATACAAGTATGGTTAATATACCACTATAGACAGAACACCAGGTCCTAGTTATACAACGTATGGTTAACTTACTACAGGAATGTTATACAAAGTATGGTTAACTTACTACAGGAGCGACGGAATACCAGGTCCTAGTTATACAACGTATGGTTAACTTACTACAGGAATGACGGAATACCAGGTCCTAGTTATACAAAGAATGGTTAATTTACCACTATAGACAGGACATCAGGTCCTAGTTATACAAAGTCTGGTTAATTTACCACTATAGACAGGACATCAGGTCCTAGTTATACAAAATATGGTTAATTTACCACTATAGACAGAACACCAGATCCTAGTTTTACAAAGTATGGGTAATTTACCACTATAGACAGAACATCAGGTCCTAGTTATACAAAGCATGATTAATTTACCACTATAGACAGAAAACCAGGTCCTAGTTATACAAAGGATGGTTTATTTACCACTATAGACAGAATACCAGTTCCTAGTTATACAAAGTATGGTTAATTTACCACAGGAGTGACAGAATACCAGGTCCTAGTTATACAAGTATGGTTAATTTACCACTATAGACAGAACACCAGGTCCTAGTTATACAAAGTATGATTAATTTACCACTATAGACAGAATACCAGGTCCTAGTTATACAAAGTATGGTTTATTTACCACTATAGACAGAATACCAGGTGCTACTTATACAAAGTATGGTTAATTTACCACTATAGACAGAACATCAGATCCTAGTTATACAAAGTATGATTAACTTACTACAGGAGTGACAGAATACCAGGTCCTAGTTATACAAAGTATGGTTAACCTACTACAGGAGTGACAGAATACCAGGTCTTAGTTGTACAAAGTATGGTTTACTTATTACAGGAATGACAGAATACCAGGTCCTATTTATACAAAGTTTGGTTAACTTACTACAGGAGTGACATAATACCAGGTCCTAGTGATACAAAGTATGGTTAACTTACTACAGGAGTGACAGAATACAAGGTCCTAGTAATACAAAGTATGGTTTACTTACTACAGGAATGACAGAATACCAGGTCCTAGTTATACAAAGTATGGTTAACTTACTACAGGAGTGACAGAATACCAGGTCCTAGTTATACAAAGTATGGTTTACTTACTACAGGAGTGATGGAATACC